AAGTGAGAAAGGTAGGGGGCCCCTGTTATAGGCTCATGCCTCTCCAGGGTTGGGTTATTTTATAAATTGATTTGAATTAAAATAATCGGAGTTAGTAATATGTATCTTTGGTTGGAGTGTCCGGTTGCATTCAAATTCATTTCACAATATATTGCGAAATGACTCAAAATATTTTTTGTAGTATTATAGAGTTCAAAATTTCGTTTCATTACTCACCTTTACTCATCGTAATGTACGATATTCAAAAGTATTTAGGGTGAGAATAGAATCGCAAAACTCTTCCAACAGAGCACTGGATACAAAACTGAGTTCAAATTAGCTTGTACAAAATAGTAAAGGGAGTCAGATTGTTGGAATGGGTGACACGAAAAAATATGAGAGAAAGATCAAACTGATCCTCCTCTTGAAGATGATCACTTGGTGATCGAAACACGTGTCGAGGTGTTAAAATAACGGTTTGGTGTTGGGGAAAAAAACTCCGTAATATTCATCACTACATCAAAGGTTCCAAACAGTGCATCACATTTGTACGTGTTGTTTAATGCCATACCTGTCTATGGTGATTTGGCAAAACAGACAGAATAAATGACCACTCATTTGACGGGTGTAGCTTCAACAATATGGCCGTTATCAATTGAAGAGGTTTCGAATTCCCTCTTGAAAGACCAAACAACTTCCTTCCTGAAAAGGATATTCTTGAAAAATGTATCAATTTCACTATATGTACTGAATGTACTTCACGAGTGGTTGCAAAAAACTTCACTGTAAAACTATTCATGAAATGAACAAGCTACTAACATTTCAATATATTAATTTTTTTCAGGGAGGAAGATCTCATCCGCAAGGCTATCGAGGAAAATGAATTTTTGTCGAGTATCCTTTCCGAAAAGAGGTTACAGAAAATCGTTGAATGTATGAAGGTTGAGAAAGTATCAGAAGGACAGATGATCATAAAGGAAGGCGTTGTTGGTTCAGATTTGTATATTTCTGTTTCGGGGAGTTACCAAGTTATAGTCGGAGATAATGTCGTCAATACCTTCCATGATGTTAGAGTTTTTGGCGAACTTGCAATACTGTACTCTGCTAAAAGATATGCATCGGTCAAATCATTGGAGAATGGATCTGTCTGGGTATTGGATTGCCCTACGTTCAAAAGACTTATGATCAAAACTGCCATAGAGGAGCATGAAGAGATGGCGAGTTTTTTGAGAAATGTTCCACAACTCAACACCGCCGTACCAGAAAAATTGTACCAAGTGGCTAACTTGCTGCAGAGTGAGTTTTTTCCGTCTGGAACTGACATTGTTAGGCAGGGTGAAATAGGGGACAAATTTTATATTATAAGAGCCGGATCTGTGACAATCGAGAAAGACCAAGAAACGGTTGCTCATCTATCGAAAGGAAACTATTTCGGTGAACTAGCTCTCCTGAAAGAGGAATTTCGTCAAGCTACTGTTATAGCAGATATGCCTGGGACGGAATGTTTAACGCTAACGAGAAAACAGTTCATCGACCATTTTGGCGACATAGATGAGTTCATCAGACTCAAAATGCACCCCGTTACCGAAATAGAAAAAGCCGAATTCACTAGTTTCCAACTGGATGATCTGCAAGAGATTCAAACTTTGGGACTAGGAGCTTACGGTAGAGTTAAACTCGTTCAACACAAGCGGTACAAAAATTTGGTGTTTGCTTTGAAGAGTTCAAGAAAGGTTGATATTTCACTGCTTTCTAATAGAAGCGGCAACACCGCATTGTCGAAAATATTTTAGTTGGCTAGAGAATGTCCGAATATGCCCTCCATTGAATTTTCAAAGTGATCCGTTGTCTGATTCACCAGAAACGTGTAATGTGCCATCCACCGTGAATCAGCCTGTATACTAGCTATATAAATAGGAGAACATTTTCTACTCTGAAAATTTACGAATATAATTTGAAACTGTTACTTTAAGTACACTGTTACGTGTCAATTTGGAGATTTTTTTAAGCTTATAGCTTTCGAAAACTCCATTCAATCTCTGCTTTGACATATTTTATTCATTGAAAAGGTGCCGAAACTGAAGAATTGATATGAATGAATACTTATTTGAGGTGTGTGTTTCTGTGCCGAGAAGATGAATGACAGTGAGCCTATCAGCTGTCTTTACGGAATCTTCGAAATACCGTCGTAGCATCGCCTTGTCACGGTAATGCGGGGCTCTGCCGTGATTGACCTTCTTTCTCTAGCTACTCGTGGGACTTTTATGGACATAGTTAACTTAAAACTGACGCTGAATTTACAGAGGAGATGGATGCCGAGCTAACGACTCCAACTGACCTCCCTGTAAATTTAGATGAGGAGCGAGTCTACTGAGGAGATGGATATCGAGTTTACGACTCCAACTGACTCCCCTGTAAATTTAGATCAAGAGCGAGAGCTTCTCAACTCTCCAACTCCGGATCCAATAACTGAACCTACAAAAAAGATTTGGTGGTGCAGCCGGGAAACGACTGAGATGTCTTCTCAAGAGCGGGGTACCTTATGAAACCGCCTTGCACCAAATTCTTGAGCAGCGTACCCAGAATCTGTCTCAAGTGGAGGAACAAACCCCCCATGAGCAGGTTAGCAAACGTTTGCGCTCAAGTTATGATTCACCAAAACCAGAGGCGAAAAACCCTGTACGGTTGAATCTAAGGCATCGTCAGGTGTAGGTGGCGTGCAAAAACCCTCGGCAGAGTTCGGCAGAGCCGTACTTTTACCATCTGATCTGAAAGACCACTCACCATACAAACTAATCGGTTTCGTTAAGAAGTTGGGTTTATTTGGTCGAGAGTGAATAGAGTTACAATAAACCCTTGCGGACTGCGATGGAGGGACGAATAGACCCTCCTGTAAGGAGTGTAGAAATCTGCATGTATATCGTTTTGCCGTTGTGGATTTTGTAGAGAGACAAAAAAATGAACAAAAACAGTTAGTGATATAGAAAATGATAAAGTGGCTGACTACTGCATATACATTAACATATAATAATGATGGATATTATTTGAAAATCAATCTATCATCTATCAATCTAACCGGACCAGACCAGCGTCGACCATACCAAAGCCTGTGAACCCACAGTCGACGTTTGAGAATAGGAAGATTGAGATCCTTGCAGAGACCAGCGACGCGATCTGCAGATTGAGACCCCGGCGTCGAGTCACAAAACTCTACAGCATATCACTATATGAGTAGTAGGCAAATTGAGACCTCATTATAGTCATAGCTTCTTGAAAATGGCTGGAATGATGAGATGGCTGAAACGTCGAACAACTGAAAACATTACGTGACAGTAATGATCACCATGAATGTGGTAGTCTTTGTGAATCATAAACAAAAATGATCCGACAAGCCATAGCATAGCACCATTAAATAAGGGGAAAGGAATGAGACCTGTAATAAAACATTCAATACCTTCGGGACCTTACCTCATATCTCTTCCCTTTCAGATAAACTGTCTCAAGTTTTCGAAGAATGTCTCTGTTTTTCCTGTTAGCGACTGCAACAAGATCACGACTACTTTGTTTTTGTTTTCTAATTACAACCAAGTGATATTTGATATGAAAAGATACTATACCGTTGATGAGGAAGTATATGAAATCATTTTTTGTTTCAGGGTGTATTTTGGAAGCGCTGAGCTACCTCCACGATCGGGGAATTCTCTACAGAGACCTGAAGCCGGAGAACGTTATCCTTCATCACACCGGCTACTTGAAGCTGGCCGATTTTGGATTCGCCAAACAACTCGACGGAAAAGAAAAAACCTTCTCTTTTGTAGGCACTGCCGAATACGTAGCTCCAGAGATAATCCAGAATAAGGGTTACAATAAAGCTGTCGATTACTGGGCCTTTGGTATTTTCGTTTACGAGCTGCTAGTTGGAAAAACCCCCTTCAGAAGTCACGATCCTGCTCACCTGCAGACCTACAGGACGATTATGAAAGGAATTGATAGTATCGTTATGCCGCACTACCTTAGCCATAAAGCCAAGTCTCTCATTAAGAAACTATGTGCTCAAAATCCCAGCGAGCGACTGGGATGCCTGAAGAGTGGCGTAGATGCTATAAGAAATCATGGTTGGTATTCCAGCTTCGACTGGAGTAAGCTGGTGAATATGGAACTAGAGCCACCCTATAAACCCCATCTTCAGAACAACGTTGACACTAGAAACTTTGATAAATTTCCCGATGAGAAAGATGTTCCCGAGGACGACTTTTCGGACTGGGCCGAAGGATTTTAGGAGAGGTGGAACTATCAGACAGCCGAAGAAGAGAGTGGCTTGGGTTCAATTCATTTGGGTGGCAATCAACCAGGCTCAGCTTCTCAGCTTGTTGTTTACTTTGTATTCGAGAGCATAATGGTGGAGCCTCCACAATTTGTTTCAATTCTCAACGTTGTCAATGTCTCAATGTGGAACTGAAATATACTTTCCTCATTTCACCACTGATATAATATATGCGGAGGAGAAATAAACAACTCATATATTTCTGTTTGTTTTAATTTTATTCATTGTCTTGATTTTATTATACCTATGTTCATACCCATATTTAGGAATAAACCCTACTGCTTTGTACGCTGCTAATAAATTGCTGTAGATTTTATTGAAAGAACAACTTTTGAAATTTTGAAATGAAAGAGTCATCCTCAAACCATTCAACGCGTGATTAGACTGGTTATCAGTTTTAAGAGATACGAGTATCAACTTTCTTTTAATATTTTAGACGATCAAAGATAATTTTTGATGTTTCGGACTCTACCCAGGCGAATAACTTTTCGAATAGAATTCAACAGCCTTTTTTTAAAGAAATTTCACGGCAAAAATATGAATTGTAAGTTTTTCAGTTTGAAAAAAATGTTTGTCGAATATTGTTTATAATATGAATGGGGAAGTGTACGAGGTATGTTCAAAAAATAAGGTTAATGTTCAAATTTTAGCATTCGATTAGCAATTAGTTGATATCGAGCAAAACCTCATAGTTGGTGGTAGTTTCACTGTCTTCCAGAGTACTGAATGAAATTCGACCAACTGGAAGGTTTTGCTAGGAATTTTCAATGGTTTTTCCAAACACGCAATTATTAACCTTGTTTTTTGAATTTTTTATCCTGGTATTTTCAATTCCACTTGTGTTCATGAGAAAATGAATTTTACTTTCCGATTCCAATCAAAATATATGACACCTGGTAGCACTTAATCCTCAAATATTCTTTCTTCAAGTGAGATTCTATTTGTTGAAATCTGCTGGTCAAGTCTGTTTGAAAAAATGTATGAACGGCCTCACAAAAACCAAATCTCCTTTTTAGCGAAATTCAAAAACACAGGGATAATCTCAATAGAAAAGAAGAGCAATGGACATCAATAAAATCTAGCTGCCTGTCCGTGGTTGTAGACAAAAAAGGTCAGGTAATCCAATTGAGAGAAATGAAGCCATGCCCACCTATGATTCAATAAACGTTTTCATTCATCCAGCATTGAGATTTCTGCATTGGAAACGGAAACGACTCAAGCATCAACTCGAGCACTTCGATCGGTACTTCATTGCCTTAGATACTACCGCAGTAATAGACGAAACGTCGGAGAATAAAACCTGCAGGCCACGGTCGTGAAACCTGAAAAAGAGCTTTGATACACTGATACTTTTGATGTGAACTCCAGTGGTGATAATTCGAATTTATTTATTTCGAAGAACTTGTCAAGGACATTTGTTTAGCCATGCCCACCTATGATTCAATAAACGTTTTCATTCATCCAGCATTGAGATTTCTGCATTGGAAACGGAAACGACTCAAGCATCAACTCGAGCAGTTCGATCGGTACCTCATTGACTTCGATACTACCGCAGTAATAGACGAAACGTCAGACAATAAAACCTGCAGGCCACGGTCGTGAAACCTGGAAAAGAGCTTTGATACACTGATACTTTTGATGTGAACTCCAGTGGTGATAATTCGAATTTATTTATTTCGAAGAACTTGTCAAGGACATTTGTTTTCATATAAAAATACAAAACATTGTCATCTTCGTTCTATTGATATTTTTATAGATAGAAAGAGCAATAAATAATGAAAGTCGATGACATTTTCAGATCTCTTGTCTTTGAAGAAACTTCTGTGTAGGAATGTTACTGCTTAGTGTTGGAAAACCTGGAGCTGGATCGATTATACGCAGGATTCGTGACCGTGGTGGTTGCTTCGCGGAAAATGGGATTTTTCGTTACGCCAAACTTGACAGCTCGTCTTTCCCGGTCGAACTTTTCATATTCACGACGATCGTGAAGTGTGGTGCATATTTTCCAGATGAGTAACATTATCAAACCGGCCAGTAAAATGCTTCCTATGACACCCAAAATCCAGGCTGGAAAATAACATTCAGAATTATCAAATCGAAATAATATATTTTACGTTGAATATTAATATTGAATGATGTATAAATTTTGAATGGAGCAGAAAAAACCTAATTTGGAAAAATGATGAAAATAAGAGTTGATTCTGGAAAACATTTCCGGAACACAGGGACAACATTCAGAAATAGTGGTGAATTACCTCAATTTTTTTTACTGAAATTGGACGATATTTCCATTTCTCTGATATTGGATGGAGCAATTTAGAAAATTGAACTCTTTCAAACATAGCATTGTGACGTTTTCTTACTCGTTTCTTGGTTTATATCAAGAAAGCCCAGTTAGAATCACCAGATCTCGATTGACTGGTTTTGATCCCAAAAAAAATGTTACTCATTATCACTTGCTCTATTTTTAATCAAACGGTTTTATTAAGGCAGCACTGTAGACTACGCAGTTGTGTATTTAGGCTCGAAATTGTTTGAAGAAGGACAAGCATATGTAGCCCTAAGTCTAGTATAGTCTTTGGAAGGTTCATTCATCGAGGAGTAATATTGCAACAAATGGTGGGTACATGAACTTTGTAATACTAAATGAACTCAACAGAATGAGAAAAATTAAGTGACGAAATTAGAAACTCAAAACTTGAAAATAAAATAAGTAAAGAAAAATTTTCATGTCGAACGGTTTTATTAAAAAAAAATAATAATGATACTAAATAATGTACTAAAAGCTAAAAAGTTATTCAAAAGGTCCTAGGTAGTAGTCATCATACCACTCTCTTCAGCAATCTAAAGTATTGATTGAATAACAAACTAATGAAATCGTTAGGCGTAGTATTTACATATTTAGTCAGGTTATGCTACGTCCAACTATTTTATTGTTTTTTTATCTGATTAATACCGTAGATTGTTGAGATGAGTGGTGTGATGACTGCTACCTAGGACCTTTCGAACTACTTTTTAACTTTCAGTACATTATCTACATTATTACTATCTTTTTTGATTGTTTTATAATTTTTAATTCTTTCTGTAAGGTTTTCAACTCATAGATATTTATTAATATGGAAACCATGGGTCATGTCGACGGCACTTGTTAAAAGAGATGTGAAAATAAGGTATGTTGAAAATGATGATGATTCAAAAGTATGCTTACCTAAAACATTTGGAGGACTAGGGCAAACTCTTTCCTTCATAGCTTTCACAACAAGTACTTCTCTACTGTCATAATAATATTCAAAATTCATGATGCATCGATCATCATCTGGTATTTTACATCGCTTAATACTTGGATCGTCATCACTATCCAGTTTGTCTACTACTTTGGTTTGGAATTCCGTACATTGAGTGCTACACGTACTGTTGTATTTTCCTTTTTTATAAGCTTGGCATTCGACACAATACCGAAGTTCCTCGCATCTGTAGATTGAAAAAAAAAAATAGAGGAAAAAAGAAATGAAGGAATGACAATAACAGAGAAGAAACAGAGAGACGCAGAGGAAAAGAGAAAGAAAGAAAGAGACAAAGAGAGGTGACTCTGGAGAAACTGGGAAAACTATCAGATGAGGGTATGAAAGATGAAAAGTAAAAGAGAGTAAGAGAGAAAGAGGAAAACAAAGAAAGAGAAAAAAAAGAAGAAAATAAATGAAAAAAGAGGACTAGAGAAATGAAAGAATGAGGGAATGACAATAACAGAGAAGAAAAAGAGAGACGCAGAGGACAAGAGAAAACATAAAGAGACAAAGAGAGGTGGCTTTCGAGGAAGTTGGAAAACTATCAGATAATATTCAAAATTGAAGTTTACTTTGATGTTTGAAAATATCAAGGTTTCGAATGTAACGCAAAACAATTGAAAAATAGTATTTTATAAATCAGGTGATCAACTTTTACATTGAGAAAATCAATGTATGCAATGAGATATTGAAAAGGAAGGCATGATCTCGTGACTTTTTATTGTACAAACCTCTGAGCGGGGCAAGATAAGCAATCATCGCAGTATTTTCCAGAATATCTGTTGTTATCCACATTGCACACGCACGCTCCACAGACACATTTTCCGTGACCGGAACACTTCAATTTTGTTTCCGGATTTATGCAGTTGGATTCGTTCTCCTCACATTCGCAAGCGTCTCCACTGTAGCCGCTTTGGCATTCACAAACGTTACAGTTGCAGGTACCTGAAAAATTTCGCTGTATACATGTTCAATTCTATTCATATTCGAAGTAATCAAAATTCGGTACACTGAATGATGATAATAACAGAAGATAATGACTCGAATACTCTGCACAATTCCAAAGATTGAGGGCCAAATATTTGATGATCAATTTCACTTTGAATATCAGTTTTCGAATCAATGAATCTGGTTTTCGTTACTGCTTGGCAAATCTAGCTGCGCCTCTGAAATGCGTGAACGAAAAAGAGAGATGGTACCTCATTGTTCACTGTCAACAAAATACCATCGGGAAAAATATTGGCTTGATACTCCAAAAGATACGTATATTTTCATTAGAGATGATTGAATCAAGAGAAATTGGATTAACGTACAATCGATAATTGATAGATAATCGAATGCATAGTTACCAGACATTATGAAGAAACGTAGCATATATATACAATGAATAATTCGACCAAGTTTCTCACATACAATTGATTTTTTCACTGGTAACCTAATTACAAAAGATAGTGCCTACTTGATTTTTCTCTGACCTGAAAAAAAACATACCTTTATCAGAACAGAGTTTTCCGCCTTCCTTTTTGCAGGAATAGTTGTTGCACTGGCAAAATTCCCCGTAGATTCGTTCCCCTTTGTTACCATTTGAAAAGCACTCGCATTTTCCACATTTACATTCACCCAAACCTGAAAATTATATCAGTATAATTATTCAACGAGCAAGGAATTACTTGTGATAATGTTCGTTCGCCTTCGGCTCGCGTCGCGAATCATACGAGTGAGTAATGACAATTGCATGCAATTAGAATACCATACTTTTTCTATGACTTATATTGGGAATATTTCAAAATGAGATTCATTTCGTTACAGTTTCTGAAAAATCAATAATATTTGCTATGACACAGATGACGAAGGTGTTATTCACGTAACGTAGCTGAAACAGCGGCCTACCGGTGGCTCTCAAATTGAAATAAATATGGAAGTGATCAGAATAGTACTTATTATAATTATAATTACGGAACTCCACACAACAATTATGAATATCACATAACACAAACAAATGAGCAATACCTCCACAATCACTACTTCGCAGTATAACTAGAATCCTTCCGTATCGCTTCGATTACTCGACTCAACAGATTCACGTCGCGCCGAAGAACTATTTTTATATCAATAAGGAAGGTTCTAGTCTAGACTCAAAGCGCATGAAAGATTCTATTGTTTTCAACAAAAGTAATAAGATATTTCCGCTTGTGGCTAAGATATGGCGTTACTGTCTATGGCTGAGTTGTTTACTAGAACTGAATGGTTAACTAACAAACACTCTCTGGCTTGTCTAGGTACGCGCTGTTCACTTGAAAGTATCAAATCTCTGAAAATCATGTTTCTTCTTTTTCTGAGACACATTGCGATCGCGGACCGCAGTGATACGGCCCGGGGGCCGAATGCGGCCCACGGCGGTATCTTTGACTCAATATTCTAAATACAAATAAAACAAAACGTATACGCTTTCACAATAGACAAAAAGAAGCTAGTGTAGTTGATTTCGGAGACTGACAGTCAGTTGATAAGACCGTCCGATTTCTTGGATTATATATAGACGAACATATTTCCTGGGGAGAACACTGTAAAATCTTAATCAATACATTGAATTCTATTTCCTATCAATTACGTAATTTGAGATCAGTTCTGTCTAATGATCAGTTGCTGATGCTCTACTATGCCCAAGTGGACTCCAGACTTCGATATGCCATCTCCCTCTGGAGAAGGTCTTCGAGAGCTAATGATGTATTTGTTGCACAAAAGAGAATACCGAGTAATGTTTAGTCTATCCTCTCGACAAAGCTGTGTTGATGTATTCAAGACATGTAAAATCATGACGCTACCATCACTCTTTATCTTTGAAGTTTGTGTGTATATATTTAGTAACTAGAACAGTTTTTCAACCAGATCTAGCATTCATAAACATGACACGAAAATAAAAAATCAGCTGAATATACCCTTTTCGAGGGTTCAATCATCTAAAAACTCTCCAAACTCACTAGGTCCTTTATTATTTAATGAATTACCAGACTATGTAAGAGAGAGTCGAACCTTAACATGTTTTAAAAATTTTTAATTGGAAGATGCTATTCTAAAGTCGATCAGGTGAATCCTTTATGATTTGTCTGTTATTTGTGTATCTGGGTGGATATATGTATATATGTCTGTATATGTATATATGTGTTACACAATTATTCTATACTATAGATGAACGACTATAATAATGCAAATTTACTGTTTTGTTATATACAATTTAACTGGATGTTATCATGTTCTGTTAATTTTAGATGAACGACTACTCCTATACAATACTTGTATTGTTCTTCTGGAGAATAAAGAATCATTATTATTATTATTATCATTGATCAATATTGTTTGAGAAAAATGAAAATTCATTTCATTATTTTAACAGACCTCTACATATTTTGACAGGCTTTATCTCGACAAGTGATTTCGTCCCACTAAATAAGGTTCCTCCAAGAAAAAATTGCCAAAATCCACGGGTATTCCATAAAAATGAGATTCAGGCAATTTTTTTTTCAAAGAATATCCGAATACTTGTTTTGCTGTATGAGTTTAGTTAGAGAAAAATTAAAAAATTGAAATGATCCATCTATCCTTGTAGTTATAGTGATACTTCATTTATCCATCTTCCCATTAATTTAAGGCGAATATATAATGAAAAGAAATTCAGGAAGAAATTAAAAAAATTCCTTGTTGGGAGGCCCTACTATAGTGTGGACGAATTCTACCAAGGCTCTATCAAGTAATTGGCATGTAGCTTCGTGTAAACAAGTTATTGAAATCAACACGAAATGGCTATCAATGTTCATTTCGTAGCATTATATATTTACATTTACTCAATAACATTGTTTATTCATGTACTTATATTTGTAGCTGTTCTGCTGGGCTTAATATTGTTCTGTCCACATACTCCGCCCTTGTCTCTAAGCATTATTTTATAGTACACGTTTTACACGTTTTACTTTGTACACGTTTTACTTTGTACACGTTTCACTTTGTACACGTTTTACTTTGTTAGACTTTGCCAATAACATGTTCAGATCTTGGGTAATAAAGCATATTTTGATTTGATTTGATCCTTGGGTATGATGTCCAACCTAGTCTAGTATCTTGATGTATTTCATTAGTTCGGACTTCCAGCGCCTAAAATGATATAAATTGCTTTGAAATCCATGAAAGGCTCTATAAAGAAAGTAAGAAAGGCAGAAAGAGAGAATTGGAGGGGGAGAGAACGAGATAAAGAGTAGAAGAGAGGAGAAGAGAAAGGGGTAAAGGGAGAAAGAGAGGGAAAAGGTGGTATGGAAGATAAAAAGAGGAAGAGAGAAAGGGAGTGAGAGAGGAAGAGGAAAACAGATGAAGAAAAAGAGAGAATGAAAAAAGGGAAAAAGAGAAAAAGAAAGAATGGGAGAAAAAGGGAAAAGAGAAGGAGAGAAAAAGAAGAAAAGAGAAAAAAGGAATGAAGGAATGAGAAGAAAGAGAGAAGGAGAAAACGGTACAAACGTATGAGCGGGGCAAGATAAGCATTCGTCGCAGTATTTTCCAGAATATCTGTTGTTATCCACATCGCACACGCATGCTCCACAGACACATTTTCCTTGACCAGAACACTTCAATATTGTTTCCGGACTCATGCAGTTGGATTCTTGGAATCGCAGTCCGCGTTTGGTGGCCTGGTTTTCATGGATTGTGTTTCCAGATCTGAAGCAGGTTCTGATGTACATGGACCCAATTCTTCTCATTCTTTCCGACTATCATCTGATGTAGGGAAGTACAAGTACTGGTTGTGGCGGCTTCTATTCCTTGTGGAGCTCTTGCTGTCTTCTAGCCAAAGCCTGTTCCACCATCACTCTGGAGTAACCATTCCGTTGAAGGTCATTTTTGATGATGACTAGTTCCTTCTCGATTCCTTTGTATTACAGAGTCCGAAAGTACGGTCTACTAGAGTCTTGGCTTGGAATCTTCTAATTTTAAATTTTCAATTCTTGTTATCAATTTTTTAATTTTCATCTCGTGTTCAATTTTTTGATTTTTTGGTTGTTGCCTGTATTTTATTGTGAATTCAGTTTTTTGCATGATATAATTGTTGTTTTCAGCTAATCTTTTTAATTTTCTTACAGACTCTTTCAGGGATTTCAAATCAAAACAATGGAAGTCCGAACTAATGAAATGCACCACGAAACATTGTCAACTACCTTCAAACAAACCTAGTCTCTTGATTTGATGAAAACTAACTCAACATGTACCTTATTAAAAACAATTTACCTGAACATGTTTCGTTCGTTCCTTCCATCTGACAACGGGACGTGTCCTCCGATAGTCCAGCAGAATTATCACACTCGCAGATCCTTCCATTCCGTCCTGCAGGACAACTGCACACTCCGCATATCAAGTCCCCCTGATTACTGCATTGGTCCGATTTTTTCGTAGCATTCAACGAACAAGGGCATTCGCATAACATATCCAATTCCACTATTAAACTTTCATTCAGGGCTGCCGGGCGGATGGCTATGAATTGTTTGTTGTTTCCATTGGTCGGACATTGTCGAACTTGGATGGTGGCAGTGAATTCGAGGATTTGACCAACACGCACGTTTTTACAAGTGTCTGATATGTCGCTATCGCAATTTGAGGTGAATTTCAAATCTACTTCGCTTGACACGTTGGAGGTGAATGTTACGGTTTGGGATATTTTCTGAAATGAATCATTTTATGGTGTAAACTTCTATGACAAGTTCGTTGAGGAAATTGCTGATGATATGACAATTACAAACTCTATGAAAACTTCGACAAAATTCATCATTTTCCTGTTCACACATCCTGCATAGAGGTGTGCCCATTAGCCCCATATTGTGGAAGTGTTTTCTTAGTTGACAGGGGCTAGTTAGAAATCCTACTGTTGAGCGTAGATTTTTTCTGGTCATCGCCAGATATTTCTACGGTGCCAGCTTCCCAGGGTCGCCCAAGGTGATCCCGGAAAGATTGCAACCCTTGATTTCATTCCATCTCTTGAGGGATTGAGTATGGGTGTGACATTTGGCTAGTTCCGCAATTGTCGAAGTCTTCAAGCCGATGATGATTTTTAAACAGACATAAAAACAATTTCGGGTTGGCTTCAAAAGAATAAATCTAATCTAAGTTTCCAAAAATCGTCGTAGAGAGTGGTCCTAGAAGTATCCGGCTCAACAACGAAAACACAACAATTTTCGAACACAATTTATTTATTTTTCAACATAATCTCCGTGCAGCTTTATACACTTTCCCCAGCGACGTTTAATAAGTTCGATACCGTCATTATGATAAGAACTGTCTTGTTCCTCAAAATAACCAACAACTGCCGACTTTACTTCTTCATCGTTGAAATATTTCTGACCATTGAGCCATTTTTTCGAGTTTTAGAACAGGAAATAATCCGAGAGTGCTAAATCTGGCGAATAGGGTGCATGAGGTAACAATTCAAACTTCAGTTCGTTAAGTTTGATCATTGCGATAATAGATTTGTGAGCTGGTGCATTTTCTTGATGGAACAACTTTTTTTCTCACAGCCAAACGCGGCCGTTTTGCTTGATTTCTTTACTCAAACGTTGCAGTAAGTTCGTATAACACTCGCGATTGATAGTTTCGCCTTTTTTAAGTTAGTCAATGAAAATTATCACATGCGTATCCCTAAAAACCTATACTATGACCTTGCCTGCATATGAAACGGTCTCCGCCTTCTTTGGAGCCGGTTTTCCCTTTTGAAGTCCACTGTTATTAGCATTATTTTGTCTCGGGTGTGAAATGATGGACCATGTTTCATCCATGGTTATGAAACAAAGCAAGAATTCTACTTTGTCGCTGTGAAAGTTTGCTAAACACCCGAACATCTTCACAACACTGTTTTTGCTCGAGTGTGAGCAAACGCGGCACCCGTCTTACCCATCTTAGGTAATATACGATGTACCGTACTTTTTGAAATGCCTACTGAGTCTACTAGCTCGCGCATTTCCAGTCTACCATCATTCGATACCGCTTTGTGAATTTTATTAAACGTTTCTGGAGTCGTCATCTCATTTAAACAAGCACTGCGATGTTCATCTTGGCAGCTCGTAAGGCCTCGTCTAAACATTGCTACCCAATATTATACTGTTGTAAACGAAGGAGGAGACACACCCAGAATAGAATCCAGTTCAGCTGGATTCTATTCTGAGGCTTTCCAAATAAAAGTATTGTACTACATAATGATGACCAATTTTCTCCATTTCCACTCATCGAAAACGTTGCCTGCCAAACAAATACTAAACAACGCATCGTCTTCAAACTTGAAATATATGCTTCATAGATTGTGCACTTTCAAATACATTAATATTTTTCGAACAACTACCGCCATCTCTAGGTCAGGACGAGTACTTCTGGGACCACCCTGGTATGCGAGTATTTCTCAAAGTTGTACCAATCTTATAATTATTGATAACAATTCAGTAAGTTATACCAATTCTATCAAATTCCTAGGATTATATATTGATGAAAATTTGTCGTGAACAAAACATATTGGAATTATTTGAAAAAAAGTAGCACCCTTCATTGGTATGCTATCCAAAATCAGGAACTATATTCCTCTTAAATAATAATTTCAGTCTTATATGCTCACAACTGCATTACTTTATTTCTATTTGGGGATCAGCCAATAAATCCACCATGAAACCTTTGAAATCTTCACATCAAAAACAGGTAACAAAAAGTGTGCCAGAGTAGAATATTTTCAAACTATCTAAAACTTAAGTCAGGTGTGCCACAGGGTTCAATATTGGGTCCACATCAAACATGTTGCGTAGTCTAGAACACTGTGAATTTCTGCTTTATGCTGATGTCACTCAACTCTATCACAGCTTTCTTCCTCAAGGTGTAGAAAACGCATATACACTGCCCAACCGTATACATTTTTCATCATTATGAGACCAGAATAAGTCTCAGTAATGGACGTCTTCTCCAGCATCATAATAGATATTTGAACAGTCCCATTTATTTTTTCATGTATTACTTTCTTTTTGTCTTAGTTTAGGCAGAATATTTTTGAGGTTGAGTGGAAGAATAACTCAGTAGCACTTGTGCTAACTGGGTTGAACTTCGCCTTTTGTTATATCAGTAACTAGCTCTGTAATTTATTATATCCTTGTGTTACCGCAGGAGTGAAATGATCTCTGCAGCTTTCATATAGACCTTTTGCTGAACGGGTTCCAACTCGGTGACAGAATTGTGATCACCTAGTTCGGTGTCGAAAACTGAAACGAGTTCACCAGCTGCTCAGGCCGATGCCCTAAGGAAAACATTCTTCAATTCCTGCTCTCTCATGGTCACGGACCATGCAGAACTCCGGACGACTTTACAGGCTCCATCCAGTATTATTCTGTGATGTAGACACTCCAAACTCAAAAGTCTACGGCCTCTCTGCTGAAAGCTTCGAGCTGCGCTAGAGCTGGAATGTCTAACTGGCTGCGTGTGTTCATAGATGTCCTTCCAGAAAGATTCCACTTGATCAACGGGTAATTATTCACAACACCCGAAGCTTCTTGGATTAAACGTGAAGGCTTCTGGCGGAACCTCGCTCGTCTCACTAGTAACTTCTTGGCAGCCACTAGCATTCGTATCCTATCGAGGCAGTGATGTTTGGTGGTCAGCAGCACTCTTTGACTCAAAGTGTGATGGATACGTCGTAGTTTTACAGCTGTTCACAGCAGGGCGGGCGTGAAAGGCCTATTGGCCGATCTGAAATCCATCACACATTGGATACGAGACGCGTGTTGTCTCGCCAACGTGATCTTAGGTTTCATATTGTGTACCCGCCGTTCAGTTTTCCGAACCGTGAGGCCGGTATTTCGCCCTTTCGATTCGAAAAGCGATTGGACGACGCAGTACATGACGGTGTTGATTTACTAGATGCCAGCTTATTCTGTTAGAATACTATGAATCTCTGCATTTAAACAAGCCAGTTCTTGTGGCTTCAGGGGCCTAATTCTGTGGACCGCCCTGGGAGTTATGATTATCTCAATTGGTGGCGTGACGCCAACGGCTGGAGAGGAGACTCGCATCACTTATTAATTTGTTTTGAATGAAAATTTTGTTACCTGCATTTTTTCTACGAAACTACGAACTTGAGAAACAGAACCTAAATCTTTTAATATGGGAAACTGGAAGAAAAGGAAGCAAGTTTCAGAATCTTGAACTCCTTTCATACATTTCTTATAACTAGAATATTTTTCATTGAATTCAGTGAAAATCGAAAGATTTTGTATTGGATTGAATGTTTTCTACTACACAAGCACTCAATTCTCTTGCAGAATACCGAGGTTTTTCCGTATGAAAAAAACTGTTTTTCCGTTAACCAGCTGTCGCACCCCTACGAACGACAACCCTCAGAAGTCTAAACTTGTGCGAGCTAAGAATAAACGAGGTCTTACATTTTAACGTGTGATCCCTAACATGGAAATATTGACAGAATTCACAACTGTCATCAGAAACAAAATACCAGTATTTCAAAGAATAGGTCCAAATAATAAAAAAGGTGAATTCAACTACCCCCTCCTTCAATTAGTTTGGGATTTAAATAGCAGATAATACTCACATTATAAATATCTACAACCAAGTTAACGACATTGTGGGAATCACCATCGTCCAGTTCACGAAAATAGGAGTCCTTTATATTCTCTGATAATTTCTTGTAAGAGCTCGCTATGTTCAATTTAGGTTTTTTAACTATTGCGAAGATTAAATTGATGTTATTCTTAACCGCAACATAATTGATATGTGAGACTGAAGGATAATCGTAAACGAGGAAATCTTTATCGTCCGTATGGCATTTGCCGTTGTTAGGTTCTACCACACCTGCTAACTTCCCGTCACCGGCAACATGGAATTCAGCATCTGGAAATAGAAAAAGTATTGAAAATGCCTGTGTTTCAGAATGGAAGTTAAATTTTTATTGGTTATTTTTTATATCAGGTGGACAAACACCATATAATTTTCAGTTAACCCTAAACTTCTAAAGACTCGTGTACAAATTTCACAGCCGTTGGACTATTAGTTTGTGGGATAGAACATTTTGAGTGAAGCAACTTTCGTTAGTTTGAAGAAAATGGATAAAAAAGAATTTTGTGTGTTGGGAAAGTGATCAGTGATCAATTTGCTATTGTTTTCGTCCACTCATTTCTCAATATGAAGTACAAAATAAATGATTATCACTATGAGTGTAAAAACATGAGCTGATTCTATTAATATGGACCATTCTGTTTACCTGTAGACAATATCAACAGATGACGTGCTTTGTCTCTCCATTGTATTTTTTCCTTGCACACGATAGCTTGCATAATAGCGTCCAAACTACCTTCTGGGCTGTCTAAATTTCCAGACACTTTCGCAGATTCAACTTGCCTTCTGAACTCCTCGTAATCACTTGAAAGTGGCAAGTGGTTTTTGAAGCTATAAGCAGGAACACAGTCGACACCACGTGGACATGGATGTTCTAACCTGAAAAAAATGAATAAAATACAGTTGAAAATTCATCTAATCATCACACAGCATATGAGTTCGAGGTCCGTTAAGAAAATGCAGCGAATTTTCATTTTTCTCAATAGATATTTATTTTTTTCATCAATTTCCATTTTGTCCCCTTCAAAGCTATCTCAGATTTGAAGAGGACTTCATAAATTCAATGTTCAACTGAGTTTTTATTGAAATGCATTTTTGGAAAAATGTGTAGGTCCTCTACGCCTTCGTATTAATAACTCAAATCCAATTTCAAGCGTTCAGCGGAAAACATTCTGACTTCACTTTTGTTAGGAATTTGCCCATCCACATTACCACATCCTTACAATCAGTGGTTGAAAATATCATAAACATATTATCTAAAACTAAAGTTCTGTGGTCCCTAAAAGTTTTGATGCCACTTCATTTAATTTATTTCTGGCGTGTACGTATTGTGCACTATAAAATTAGTTCAAAAAGAAAGTATTTTTACCATCAGTACTGAATGAAAATGTATCCTGTAAAGGTGATCAAATTTCAAGGTTTTGCTGACGGTGTTTTTTTTTGTCGTGGCATGGTGCATCAGGAGTTCTGCTCTGCCCCTGCTCACTCGTCATTGCCTGTTCGTGATTTTTTGGCGAGAAACAACACCGTAATCGAATTCGAAATCTATGAAAAAACAAATAAAATTAAAATGAATAACTGAAATATCAATCATATTAAACAATGAAACGTGAACTGAGAATACAATTAAACGAACAAAACAAACAAGATGGAAAATGAAAATGACCACAGAGTAAACAGAAATAAAAATAAGCAATAAATAAAAAAGAAATTAGAAAAGATTTCAAACCAAGTTACTTCATGACGTTTCGATTGTCAGTATCCACAATCGTCTTCGACTATGCAAAGGTCATTCGAGCGCTTTCACTTATCCCTTTTTCCCCTTCTCGCTCCACTGGTTTAGCGGGATTTGACCGTTTTCCCGTTTGATTACAGGTTTCCATATGTTGCCTATCTCTACGCTACCTTGACTGAATGCGTTGTTGGGCAACATATATGTAGCTTCTTTGAATTTCCTCTTGAACCAGTGTTCCTTTCTGTGGATGATCTCAGCTAGGGACCACTTGATGTTATGGTAATGAGTCCGAACATGCTCTGCTATTCCCGATTTGCTGGTTTCTCCTCGCTGTGTGTTTCTATTGTGCTTGACAATGCGGAATTTAAATGGCATCTTAGTTCCACCGATATAGGATTTGCCGCACCCACAGGTGTTCGGTAAATGTAATTCTTGGAATAACAGTCCGCGTTTGGTGGCCTGGTTTTTGTGAGGCTACGGATGACGTCTTCGGATCTGAAGCAGGTTCTGATGTTAATAGGTTAGGTTGGGCCTAAAGTGAGTGGGTCTATTCGACCCTCCACCGCAACCCGCAAGGGTTTATTGTAACTCACACTTATTCACACTCGGCCAAATGAACGCAGCTTCTTAACGAAGCCAATTACTTTGTATGGTGAGTGGTCCTTCAGGTCAGATGGTAAGAGTACGGATCTGCCGAACTCTAAGAACCTGATTCGGTCCCCAGCGGGGCAGGCACAAAGTATATGCTCGGCTGTTTCTGCATATGATGACTCAAATGACAGTGACCAGTAAGAAGGCCTGTTAGACATTGTAGTTCATCCCTACTGTAGTCCAACAATTGTTTGGTATCAAGCTTCGAAGGGTGAATAAATGCCTTGGAGTGAGCCAATCCTGGAAGATTCTGCCAGAAGGCAATAAATCTTCTTGCCATCCAGGTGTTCAATGTTTGTTTGGCAACGCCCAAAGCGATGCCAATGACAGGTTCTGGTTTGATGAAGCCGCTTGCAGCACCCTCCTTTGCAAAATAGTCAGTAGCTTCATTACCTTCCAGGCCATTATGGCCAGGAATCCATACCAGAGACAATCTGTTAAGTCATCCTATAGAGGAGAGTCGTTTTTGGTAATTTGCTACCAATTTACACGTTGCTTGGTAGGAGCCAAGAGCTTCCAACGCCGCTTGACTGTCGGAGAATATTTTTATTGGCTTGTGTGTGAGGTTGGATTTATCCAATCTCTCAGCACACAATTGAATAGCGTAAATTTTCGCTTGAAATGCAGTCGGATAAGTTTCTACGCAGGTAGATATCTCTGTCCTGGGTCTGCGACTAAAAACACCTGCACCAGAACCGGAAGGTGTTTTTGATCCATCTGTGAACCAATAATAATCTGCTCCTAATATTTCCTTCTCCTAGAGGATTCAGTTCTCTCTATTCGGGAATAGTACTTCATAAGGCAGTTCGTAGTTGACAGTTGTAGACATAAAGTTCTGATGTTGTACCTGGACCCAATTTTTCATCCTTTAAGACAATCATCTGATGTAGGAAAGGGCAAGTACTCGTTGTGGCGGCTTCTTTTCCTTGCGAGGCTCTTGCTTTCTTCAGGCCAACATCTATTCTATGTGATTCATTTCACGTTTGGCAAAATGATATAGGAATGTATGCTAACAATGCAACCAATATAAATGAAACAAACAAACGAATAACTTACTGCTTGGGTTCGGTACTGACGAATGGAAGGTCTGTTTTGTCGATGAAACTGCCAAACCCCAATTTGAAATTCGTTGTGATATTCTTCATGGTCATTGCTAGTTTCACACCAAGGGCAGCTAATTGTTTTTTATATATTATCATGGAACTGGATAAATCCATAATGTAATACAAGTCCACTGGATAATTTGAGGCGATTTTGTATTTGAATTTCATCTCGTACTTTTCACCTTTTCTCAGAGACAATTTCACCTTCTGCGGCTGGATTTGAGTGGGATTGTTTACAGAGTCCGAAAATGGATTACTCTGTTCGATTTCAAAATTGGATTTTGGTGAAACAACTTCAATTTGACACGAATCATCACTGGTATCTTTTGGCCGGCAGTTGACAGGGTTCTGAAAAACGAATTATTTTAGAAAAATGGCTCTCGAATTATGATTCAGACATATTGCATTTCAACTGATTTTTCAGTAGATCCTGATAGATAGGAATATTCAACATATCAAATGACTTGCCTGACTTTAACAGAACAGGCTGATCATCTTGGTAGAACGAGGACAATAATGACACCACAATATATTTCAAATCGCTTGTTTATAGGACACAGTGTAACCGCTCGCGAATATTTTACCGATACTTTTGCTCACCAGTAGATAGATCATGGGGTACATCAACTATGGCCACCTAGATCTCCAGACTCGAACCCTCTGGATTATTCTTTTTGGGGACATCTTAAATCGCTTGTTCATGAGACACGTGAATATCTAACTGTTACTTTTGCTCACCAGTGGATAGGTCGTGGAGACCCTCAACCATGACCACCTAGATCTTCAGATTCAAACCCACTGGATCATTTCTTTTGGGGATATCTTAAATTGCTTGTTTATGCGACACGTGAATATCTCACCAGTGGATATGCCGTGGGTGACCACAACCATGGAAACTTAGATCTTCAGGCTTGAAATCACTGGATTATTTCATTTGGAGATATCATAAAACCCTTATTTATGCGACACACTGTAACCACTTGTGAATATCTTACTGATAATTTTGCGCACTAGTGGATAGGTCATGGAGTACCTCAACCATGGCCACCTAGATCTCCAGACTCGAACCCTCTGGATTATTCCTTTTGGGGACATCTCAAATCGCTTGTTCATGCGACACGTGAATATCTCACTGATACCTTTCCTCACAAATGGATAGGTCGTGGTGGACCTCAACCACGACCACCTAGATGTTCAGATTCGAACCCACTGGATCATATCTTTTGGGATATTCTAAATCTCTTTTATATGCGACAGAGTGTAACGGCTCGTGAATATCTTACTCATACTTTTGCTCAACAATGAATGTGTCGTTGGTGACCTCAACCATGACCATCTAGATCTCCAGACTCGAACCCACTGGATTATTTTTTTGGGGAATATCTTAAATCGCTTGTTTATCCGACACAGTGTAACCGCTCGTGAATATCTCAATGATACTTTTGCTCACCAGTGCATGTGTCGTGGGTGACCTCAACCATGGCCACTTAGACCTCCAGACTCGAAATCACTGGATTATTTCATCAGGGGATATCTCAAATCGCTTATTTCTGCGACACAGTATAACCACTAGTGAATATCTTACTGATAATTTTGCACGCCAGTGGACAGGTCGTGGAGGACCTCAAAATGGCCACCTTGATCTCCAGACTTGAACCCTTTGGTTTATTTCTTTTGGGGATATCTTAAATCGCTTGTTTATGCGACACTAGGCGATGAAAATGTCTTGTGAAATAAAATAATGCATAATTCTAATGCCATTCACAGGAATTTTTGAACGTGTGCGGTACTCGATGAGAAGAAGCTTGATGCTTATATTGCAAGTCAGTGTTCTCATTTTGAGCATATGATTCAATTATTTTTGGTTATTATACTGTTCTCCGAATGAAGTACAAATTAACTAGCAGTTTGAATATGTGTGAAAAAAATAAAACAAAATAATTTACCGTGGAAGATGGTTCACTGCACCAAACACATTCTAGTTTTTGTATACAGGCCTCACATGTTTGTTGTAAACCACAATCTTGTGAAGACTGGCAATTTGATAAACCTATGAATAGCACTAAACTATAAAGAACTTTCATTGTCAGCATGTTTAATGTCACTGTTGGTGTTAACTACTTGGGAGTGTCTGACGGAAACGATTATGAGTAAATATGATAAACACCAGCCTGAATCACTTATCAGAAGTGAACAGGAAAAAGTGTTTCATCGGGAAATTTATTTACCGATTTAAAATAGATAGTAGATCAGATCGTATTACGTATGATAAGCAATTCAAAAGTGCTCGACCATTCGTTTTGAAAACATATAAGGTATCCCAAAAGTCGGTTATCAAGAACATGTCACTTCCAATTCGAGAATCTTATTCAATATTTTATCGTTATTTTTTCTGTACCATCTTATGTACCATCTTATGTTGAAATATTGAAAGTTATTTTATCAACCACATAACACACATATTCAATTCCTCTATAGAAACAAATCATTTTCCCTCTGCATGGAAACATGCAATTGTAGTCCCTCTGCCAAAATGTGAAAATCCAACTGAATTATCTCATTTGAGGCCAATAAGCAAACTGCCTATCCTATCTAAAGTGTTCGAGCGGATTCTGAAAGATCTTTTGTACGCAATAATAACTTAATAACAAATGTATTTCGTACTTATGGACTACAGTAAAGCATTAGATACATTAGACCACAATATTCTGTGTAGGAAAATTTCACTTTTCGGATTAAGTGAAGGGACTGTAAATATATAGAAAAGTTACCTCAGAAATCGGACTCAGTCAGTATGTCTGAATGGAAAGTGTTCTAGTGCTTTACCTGTTGACTATGGAGTACCTCAGGGCTCTATCCTTGACCCCAAATATCATAAAACTTTTTCATAATGAACAAAATATCAAAATATGCCAAAAAAATATTAAAACTATAAAGAATTTGAATACTAAATTGAAAGATATCGTTGAGAAAATTGCTGATGATATGACAATTACAAACTCTATGAAAACTTCGACAAAATTCATGATGATATTATCTGTATCTGTAAAGTAGGGAGGGTGAGTGTAGGCCCACAGCACTTAGGGGCCACATGTAACCCATTGTACATCCTCCCAAGGGGTTGTCCTCCTAGGTCGTCGTCCATCCTGTCCTTTCCAGGAAGGTGGACATGTCTCTGGGTGACAGGTGTAGGCCAAGACGCGCCGAATACACACTCTCTTATTGACAATAACTCTGGACACTCTGAACTCTCTTGTTCCTCAAAATAACCAACAACTGCCGACTTCACTTCTTCATCGTTGGAATATTTTTGACCACTCAACCATTTTTTCGAGTTTGAGAACAGGAAATAATCCGAGAGTGCTAAATCTGGCGAATAGGGTGCATGAGGTAACAATTCAAACTTCAGTTCGTTAAGTTTGATCATTGCGATAATAGATTTGTGAGCTGGTGCATTGTCTTGATGAAACAACTTTTTTTTCACAGCCAAACGCGGTTGATAGTTTCGCCTTTTTTAAGGTAGTCAATGAAAATTATCCCATGCGTATCCCTAAAAACCTATACTATGACCTTGCCTGCATATAAAACGGTCTCCGCCTTCTTTGGAGCCGGTTATTTTGTCTCGGGTGTGAAATGATGGACCATGTTTCATCCATGGTTATGAAACAAAGCAAGAATTCCACTTTGTCGCTGTAAAAGTTTGCTAAACACCCAAACATCTTCACAACACTGATTTTGCCCGAGTGTGAGTAAACTCGGCACCCATCTTACTCATCTTAGGTAATATACGATGTACCGTACTTTTTGAAATGCCTACTGAGTCTACTAGCTCGCGCATTTCCAGTCTACCATCATTCGGTACCGCTTTGTGAATTTTATTAAACGTTTCTGGAGTCTTCACTTCATTTGAACAAGCACTGCGATGTTCATCTTGGCAGCTCGTAAGGCCTCGTCTAAACATTGCTACCCAATATTACACTGTTGTAAACGAAGGAGGAGACACACCCAGAATAGAATCCAGTTCAGCTGGATTCTATTCTGAGGCCTTCCAAATAAAAGTATTGTACTACATAACGATGACCAATTTTCTCCATTTCCACTCATCGAAAACGTTTAATATTTTCAAATTATCTAAAACTTAAGTCAGGTGTGCCACAGGGTTCAATATTGGGTCCACATCAAACATGTTGCGTAGTCTAGAACACTGTGAATTTCTGCTTTGTGCTGATGTCACTCAACTCTATCACAGCATATACACTGCCCAACCGTATACATTTTTCATCATTATGAGACCACAATAAGTCTCAGTAATGGACGTCTTCTCCAGCATCATAATAGATATTTGAACAGTCCCATTTTTTTATGTATTACTTTCTTTTTGTCTTAGCTTAGGTAGAATATTTTTGAGGTTGAGTGGAAGAACTACTCAGTAGCACTTGTGCTAACTGAGTTGAACTTCGCCTTCTGTTATATCAGCAACTAGCTCTATAATTTATCTGAATATTTGTATCTAACTACAGCTGGGAAACAATAAAGACGATTATTATTATTATTCATTATTAAAATAAAACTATTGAATGCATATGCGAATTATCAAACTCAGAACCAACAGTGAATTTGTATAACCAAAAAAATATTAGACTTAAACACACTATAAAAACAAAAATAAATGTTGTTTCTCTCATTCAACAACGTATTTCATAGAAATAAAGGTGTTGAAGACATCCTGTTAGGCCTTGATGAACCCTTCAGTTTCCGTCTTCAGCCCCTTCGAAGCGAAGGTCTGGCGCTTTGATAAGCCAAGTTCTTCGATGTTGTTGAAGAAGACCCCATGCATTGGCTTATCCTTGTGTTGCCGCAGGAGTGAAATGATCTCTGCAGCTTTCATATAGACCTTTTGCTGAACGGGTTTCAACTCGGTGACAGAATTGTGATCACCTAGTTCGGTGTCGAAAACTGAAACGAGTTCACCAGCTGCTCAGGCCGATGCCCTGAGGAAAACATTCTCCAATTTCTGCTCTCTCATGGTCGCGGACCATCCAGAACTCTGGACGACTTTACAGGCTCCATTCAGTATTATTCTGTGATGTAGACACTCCAAACTCAAAGGTCTACGGCCTCTCTGCTGAAAGCTTCGAACTGCGCTGGAGCTGGAGTGTCTGAGTTGAGTGGCTGCGGGTGTTCATAGATGTCCTTCCAGAAAGATTCCACCTGGTCAACGGGGAATTATTCACAACACCCGAAGCTTCTTGGATTAAACGTGAAGGCTTCTCGTGGAACCTCGCTCGTCTCACTAGTGACTTCTTGGCAGCCACTAGCATTCGTATCCTATCGAGGCAGTGATGTTTGGTGGTCAGCAGCACTCTTTGACTCAAAGTGTGATGGATACGTCGTAGTTTTACGGCTGTTCACAGTAGGGCGGGCGTGAAAGGCCTATTGGCCGATCTGAAATCCATCACACATTGGATACGAGACGCGTGTTGTCTCGCCAACGTGATCTTAAGGTAGAATTCCGCAACAAGCGACCGAGACAGGAGACCGAGACAGGCGACAGATAGGAGAGACCGATTGTGGTCTCTCCAGGACTGCTCTAATGCAATTACATAGAGGTCGTTCTGCAGCCCGAGACAGAGACAGACGACAATCTACTGTCGCCTCAATGTGCCTCGTCAGTCCCCTACGAGAGCAGTAGTGAAGTGGGTCGTTGCGCGACATTTCTGTTTCGACACTGAATTGTGTATGAAAATAAATAATAATGTCAGAAATCAAATTTACTGGGGAGGAAGACGAATTGCTTATAGAGTTAGAATAAGAACCAACATCTACCGCTATAAACTTGTTGTTAGAGTCCACAATGGCTAAGAGAAAAATAGAAAAAATATTCTTTATAATTAAAAAATAAAGATCCACTCTTTGAAGGAGCTCTTATACGAACGTGTTTGCCATCAATGGCTCCCACACAATTCGGAATATTCCATTGTGTCCAAAAGTCCTCAGAAATGCGTTTGTCCTCGTCTTTGGTAGGCTCAGGCATGAATTGAGGGATTAATTTTTTTCTTAAAACGCTCAATACCTCCTTCACAATTCTTGAAATATAACATGCAGATATTCTATAAGCATATGAGAGAGATGCAAAGCTTTCTCCAGTAGCAAGAAATCTGACAGAGAGAAAAATACAATTGTGTCACTTAATTTTTGTGCTAGTTTGGTGACCATAATGATGGCATGGTAGCCAATCCCATTATTTTAACAATAGACTGAGATATAACAAAAAAATTTTTTATTGCAGATGTTGATTGTAAAAGAAGATGGAAGTACATTCGTGATTCATACAACCGTTTCAAACGTAAAAGAAAAATGACCACTGGATCGGCTGCTCCAGCTAAAAATTCCAAATGGGAGCTCTTTGAACGACTTCAGTTTTTGGAACTAGTATCTACAGAAAGAGCCAGTGCCTCCAATGTTTCTTTCGAAACAGTAGTTTCAAGTCCAATGCCGAATGAAGAGGCAGAAATTCTCTTTGATATTGAAGAGAATCAAGATATAGCGACCAAGCCAGCCGCCAAGTCTACACAAAAACGCAAAAAAGTGGAAGATGAATTTCTGACATATCTCAAGAAACGAGACGACCAGAGACAGGTATATTTTCAAGAGATGAACGCTTTCAAAGAAATTGATGACGACGTAAATACATTTGGTAACCATGTAAAATCTGTCATGAGAAAATTGAACCAGCGATTTCAAATACAGGCAAGGAACGAGATATTTAACATTTTAACAAAATACGAACACATGCAAATGGATTTGGAATACAAACAGCGCCTCCAACATCAGGGGGACATAGTTATGTATCAGCCGTTTCTCCCTCTGGATCATCCACTGCAACCAGTAGCAGTAATGTTACTTCACAACATCATGAAGATTATTTCAATTCCCTTCTTCCTTTGTAAACAAATTGATAATTTTGTTGATAATAAGTACCAAAATATATAACTTACCTTAATGTTAAAGACAATTTTTCTTGTGGTGTTATGTCGCCTTTCGTTTGTATGTCCTTTTCTATTAAATTATTCACATAATCAAACTGTTTTTTATTCAATCTAAAATACCTTCGAAACTTTTCTTCATCTAATGATAGGTAATTCATTATTAGTACACTAAAAAATCCTTCCTCGCGTCTTGTTTTGAATATAGAATTTATACACCTACGTTTTTTCATTCGAAACAGGTAATATAGAAATATATCGTCATCTTCTTCTTCCAATAACCTTTTAAAGAATAGTTTCGAAGCCATGATACTGATTGGTTTACAACTTCTGATATACTGAAGCATAGAAGCCATTTCGCGCCTGTCGCTTGTCTCCGTCGCATAGTCATTTCAAGGAGCGACAGTTGAGAAGGTGTCTCGGTCTCAGCTCGTAATGAGTGTCTCTGTCACCTGTCTTGGTCTCTTCAAGCGGAACGCTACCTTTAGCTTTCATATTGTGTACCCGCCGTTCAGTTTTCCGAACCGTGAGGCCGGTATTTCGCCCTTTCGATTCGAAAAACGATTAGACGACGCAGTACATGACGGTGTTGATTTACTAGATGTCGGCTTATTCTGTTAGAATACTATGAATCTCTGCATTTAAACAAGCCAGTTCTTGTGGCTTCAGGGGCCTAATTCTGTGGACCGCCCTGGGAGTTTGATTATCTCAATTGTTGGCGTGACGCCAACGGCTGGAGAATAGACTCGCATCACTTATTAATTTGTTTTAAATGAAAATTTTGTTAACTGCAATTTTTTCTACGAAACTACAAACTTGAGAAACAGAACCTAAATCTTTTAATATGGGAAACTGGAAGAAAAGGAAGCAAGTTTCAGAATCTTGAACTCTTTTCATACATTTCTTATAACTGGAATATATTTCATTGAATTCAGTGAAAATCAGACATTTTAAATACTACAAATGTAGTTGTCACACTTGTCTACGCGGTTAAGCAACATGCAGTATGTAACTCATGTCACATGTTGCGTGTTTGATATTTCGTTGGTGTACGACCGCGCTTACCAAAACAAACAAGATTATACACCGAAAAACTGATTAATGTTTTATTATTTGAAGCCGGGATGGGCAATATTGATAAACATACTAAAATTGTTACGTCGGTCAATACGCCTACTAATTCAAACGATACTAACAACTCCTGCCATACTTATTTGCCGTCAAATGAATACCCTCATCCAGCCACTTATCGTCCAGTACAACATCAAGTACACCTAAGTTCACAAAGACCTACAGATACACAATTTCCAATGATTCCAACACCACAACAGCACCTATACCAAAATTTAGAAACTAGTTCGCCTACGTCTCAGTATAATTCTAATATTTCAACGTTTTATGGAACTTATCAACCAAGTGAGTACAATAATTAATAGAAATATTTTTTGACTGATGCAGTAGATATTGACATGAATATTTTTTACTTAGTTTTGTATTTGAATAAATAGGATTGATTGAGTTTGTGCTAACACTTCTTATATTTATTTTATGTGAGTAATAAAATCAAAATAAAGACGTTGAATTATCAAAAACTATAATGGATGTTTTCTTATCTTCATATATACAGTCTTCAAAACGTCAAGTATAGCTTTGCAGGTCTCTGGTATTATTTTTCCCAACGACTGAGGAGAAATTAGCATTGAAAACTTCAAATCTTCATAATTCCTTCCAGTGCCTAAATAGCGAAGTGTGGCTGTTAATCGCTCATGAGGTGATATAGCAGCCCTCAAGATCGTGTCCTGTTTTTCAATTATTGGAGACACTAACTTTAATAGTGTAATGTAACTTTCTTCATCCATTCTGAGGTAATTCCGCCAATCATCAGGCTCTAGGCGAAACTCTTCTAGGAAATTAATATGAGTATTCTTTGAACGTTTCAAAAGCCATTTTTTCACCCATTTTGTTGGCTGTTGAACTAGTTTCCTTTTTATTTGCTTAATAAAGCAGCGTACGCCGCTGCTAACAGAAAGGTGTCATCACCGCTCATCGTGCACTTCCAAATTAACATGTTTGATAAACTTGTGTGTAAGTGTATGGATAAACTCTGTCGGCGTTCAAAGTACGTTAAATTGAATTTTAGTTAAGTTCCAAAAATTTTTTTGAATTTTATTTTCCAGTTGGTTATTATTATTAAATGCCATATCTTTCATTTCTCAGAATGTATTACAATTCACGTTCTAAAGATTAGTTAAACTTTTATTTGTTTAATTCTATCAAATCTGGTATATACCCTTGAGTTATAGTATTCCGATACGATACTACTCCTTGAAAAAATCATTCACATTCTTCAGTGAGATGATAATTTTGTTATATATTGAAATATATTTCGATTCGATCTTCACATAATAACATATAATTGGACTTGAAAGGCGCGTATTTTGGGCTAGTTGACCCTTATCAACCTGGTGTAGTAAAGTGGCATAGATTGAGCAATTACATGGTTGCAAATAAAAGCGCAACTACATGTAGTCATCAACAAAAGTCAGTCGTACATCTACGGTTTTCGTAAGAAGATCTAGTGTTCACAAGAGGCAGCTATATCCGGAAATGGTAATAATAGGAATACCCTAACATATAAATCCAAGAGAAAGGTTTATCAGACACAGCTTGCTTTTATTTTAACCCTTAACTACTAACCATACGTCTCAGAGACGGCACAACAACAACCGATTTGTCAAATGACAACTCCCTTTCAATATCGGCCAGGTAATATATCACCAAACAGCACTCATTCAGTAGCCAGAAGTAGATGAACGTGAATGTTTCAGTTTTCGAGATATCTTGAGTGAAAGATCGATTGCCGTCTCCTAGACGTATAGTTAGTGTAAACGTAACAATAAAAAAGCACGATGGATTCTCGGCCTAGTACTTCAAAAGCTGTACACTCATCAGATAAAAACTTCGAAGAACAGTTATTGCAATGGTTAGATGAATGTGAAAGTGACATTGGTGATATTCAAGATGAATGTACTGAAAATACCCATATTGAAAGTGATCACAATACGGATTCTGAAGAAAATGGTGAATAGTTTTTAGTCAAATTTGTTATAGTATATGCTTATCATTCATAACTTTTTCTGCTGAGAATCATGAAACCGATGACGAGGATACTGATGAGATACTGGAATGTGAAGAAAATTCAATCTCGAAGTACTATTATGGAAAAAATAGATTCAAATGGTCCAGTGAGCCTACTGTTTCCAATAGGGGACGCCGCTTTCAAGAAAATATAATTATTCACTTGCCGAGACTACGTCCTTCGGCTAAAGCACTCGGGGAAAAAACCTAGCCCTCTCGAAGTTTGGGAAATGAAAAAATCTGTAGTATCATACTTCAATGGACCAACCATAAAATTGAAGCAGAACGAGGCCGGTATAGAACCGAAAATTCTGCAACTCTGAAGAATAGAATTGTACGCATTTTTTGGGCTTCTTTCATACACGGCCGCATTCAAATCGAATAATGAATGTATAAATACGTTATTTGCTACCGATGGAACTGGTCGAGAAATAATTAGGTGTATTATGAGTAAATCGAGATTTGCTTTTTTGATCACTTGTCTCAGATTTGATAATCCTGATGACAGAATGATGAGAAGCTTAGGGTATCCTGCAGCTGCAATTTCCCAAATATTCGATCTTTTTGTCCAGAACTGTCAGGATTTCTACACGATTGGGGAGTATGCTTGTGTGGACGAAATGCTGGTTAGTTTCAGAGGGAGGTGTAAGTTCAAATTGTACATGTGAAGCACATATTTCATTTTATAAGATCCAGTGCTATGTTTCATAACATATACTCCTTCTGATAAGACCTAGTGTTGTGCCGTACCTGATATAATGACGTAGCAATCTTCACAACTGTTTTCCTGAGAAAAGTTCCTCAACCTTATTCAACATATTCAACCAGTAATATTTCAGTATGACACAAATACTCCTCCTCATAAGACCCAATGCAGTATTTCATAACAGATATAAAATATAAGCATTGAACACTTCACCTTTGCTTTCCTGGGAAAATTCAATAAACCTTGCGATTTAAAGACAAATTCGGCAAATAATATTTCAGTATGAGACACATATTCCATTTTATAAGATCCAGTGCTATATTTCATAACAGATATAAAATATAAGCATTGAAAATTCACATCTGCTTTTCTGATAATATTCAATAAACCTTGCAGTTTGAAGACAAATTCAACAAAGAATATTTGATGTGAGGCACATATTTCATTTTATAAGATCCAGTGCTATATTTCATAACGTATACTCCTTCTGATAAGGCCTAGTGTTATGTTTCGTAACTGATATAATGACATAGCAATCTTCACACCTGTTTTCTTGAAAAATGTTCCTAAATCTTGCGATTTGAAGACGTATTCAACAAATAATATTTCAGTATGACACAAATATCCCTTTTCATAAGATCCAATGCAATATTCCATAACAGATATAAAATATGAGCATTGAACACTTCACATCTGCTTTCCTGAGAAAATTCAATAAATCTTGCAATTTCAAGACAAATTCAGCAAATAATGTTTCAGTTTGAGACACATATTCCATTTTATAAGATCCAGTGCTATATTTCATAACAGATATAAAATATAAGCATTGAAAATTCACATCTGCTTTTCTGATAATATTCAATAAACCTTGTAGTTTGAAGACAAATTCAACAAACAATATTTAATGTGAGGCACATATTTCATTTTATAAGATCCAGTGCTATATTTCATAACGTATACTCCTTCTTATAAGGCCTAGTGTTATGTTTCGTAACTGATATAATGACATAGCAATTTTCACACCTGTTTTCTTAAAAAATGTTCCTAAATCTTGCGATTTGAAGACATATTCAACAAATAATATTTCAGTATGACACAAATATCCCTTTTCATAAGATCCAATGCAATATTTCATAACAGATATAAAATATGAGCATTGAACACTTCACATCTGCTTTCCTGAAATAATTCTATAAATCTTGCAATTTGAAGACATATTCAAGAAACAGTATATGAGGCACATATTTTATTTCATTATATCCAGTGCTATATTTCATAACAGATATAAAATACAAGCATTGAACACTTTACCTCTGCTTTCCTGAGAAATTTCAGTAAACCTTGCAATTTCAAGACAAATTCGGCAAATGTTTCAGTATGAGGAAAATATTTCTTTTTATAAAACCCAGTGTTATATTTCGTAACAGATATAAAATATAGGCATTAAAACACTTCACATCTGCTTTCCTGAAAAAATTCAATAAACTTTGTGATTTGAAGACACATTCAACAAATAATATTTCAATATGACACGAATATCCTTTTTTATGAGAACCTTGTCTTATATTTCATGATAGATATGATGTATAGGCATTAAAACACTTCGCATCTGCTTTCCTGAGAAANGCAAAACGTTCCTACAGCCAAGGATATTGCAGCAAGTGGTACCATTCCCTTAACCACCTTTCAAAAAACCAGTGATGGTTTGGAATCCATTGCTTTGATTGACATCAACGAGAAAAGTCCAGTGAGAGCTGTGAGAATCTCGCCTACTGACTTCTTGTGGATTTTTGGAAAATGGAAAGAGCACTTAAACATTCTGGGATGGAATGGTTTTATGGAGACAGTAAAATCACATCGCTCAAATCAAAGATCTCGTACGCTGATTCTTCCATTCCTCAATGCTCCTCCAGCAAACATGGACACATTATATTCTGTTCTCCTAAATGCAGTTGAACGGAGATCTGAAAAGAAAACAAGTTCACCAAAATCTGTATTAAACGAACTTTCGGATGATTCAGCAATTCACATTTTGACTTCAAAGAACAGTTTTGCAGATTATGACGATCTTACCTTAACTGAATTCCGAGCTAAACATCCCGCTGACGTTTATCAAGAACCAATACCTGACACAAACTGTACTACTTCCACTCCAAGTTGACGAAAAAGAAGTTTTAAAAGCAATCAGATCATTTCGCACAGGTTCAGCAGGAGGAATATACTCTCTCAAGACTTGATATCAAAAAGTTCTGGCTATAAAGGTGAAAAGCTTATGCCTTCTTTGACTTCCTTGTGTAACTTTTTGCTGAGCGGTCGAAATTTGCCCTATTTTGTACGGTGCATCTTGGATAGCATGATCCATTTTGCTAAGTTCCTTCTGCTGTTTTTTTCCTACAGCAATTGAAACCTTTGGTGTTTTTGGATCTCATGCTTCTGAACTTTTGAAAAAAATAGGTAGAAGAATGACGAAATATACAGATGACAACCTTACAAAATCCTTACGACTTTCCTTGTAGTCCCACGATAAATTATATTATTAATATTAATGTTGATACTTTATAGGTGTTTACTCCGCTGAGGTATCCAAAACTGGCCCCAGAAGAGGTAAGATTTATTCATATTTGAATATATTATTACGTTCATAATGAGGATTCCGATAATGACAGCGTGAAAAATTGACATAGAGCCACCTTGTGAAAAACGGCCCACTTGTATCCCCATATTGAGTCTCACGTCGTGTAAGTGCCATGAAAACTGAAATATGTCCATTTTGATTTACTTTTGACAACTTAACTTCATACATTCGAAGTGAATGCAGGCACCTGCAAACAATACAAAATGACCCTTTCGTTATTATTTTTACAAAACCTTTATGATTTGAATTGAGGTAATGAATAAAAAACAGAATAATATTTGTAATCTGAATGTCTGAAGAAAATTGAGGGCCCCCAAATGAAACGCAATCTTCTGTATTCAATTAATGAATATGCGAAACGAAATCTGATGTACGACAACAGCTCCAAAGAAATTTACATTTTTTGAGACAGCTGGTAGACATCTGTTTCAGCCTATTGGGCATCTTCAGTACCGGGCAGGCGGTCCTCGATTAAAAACAAAATGTGAATAACCGAAAAAAGTACTTGATGAAAATAACTGCGTGAACGCAAACGAGACAACAGCTGGTCGTGCTATTATCTTCAAGGCTCTACTCAAACTGCCTTGAAGATGATAGCGTTGAAAGCGCTTGCATATAATAAATAGAAGTTATAAAGCTTTAAATCCTTCAAATTCGTTTCTGTACATGGGGATCTCGTAAAGATTAGAGATAGAGTGTTGGGTAAATTGTGGCAAAGTTGCGTATTTTAGATACCTGTTCAATGATGTAAAGAAATCGAATATAGCTCTTTTGGTTCTGGAGATATACAGGAAAAACCAAAAAATCCCAAATCATTTTTGTGCCTGTATCTTCTTTATTCGCAGACATATTGAAAATCTGTCCACATTTTGCTATTGGCACTTGATGTGGGCTCTCAAAATAGATCCATGAATCTTTTATACAGCCTTCTAAATATTCAATGATATGGTGGTTTACGGCTTTCTCCATGATTTTTATATCACTGTTAGCTAAGCAGCTGGTCTATAGTTATTAGGAAGATTTTTGTTGAATCGGATTCTTTAACATTCTGCTCCAAACAAGTTTTCAATACACATTGTCTTCTGATATTTTTCTATCGTGTGCAATTTGAAAAGTGAGAGACAAAATCCCCAATTCTAATCAGTGTCTCTTCTGAATAGCAATTTTATTATTGAGGTGTCTGTGGATATGAGTTTCATGTTGTTGTTTCATGTTGTCTGTTATATAACTATTGCTCAGTCCCATTTTATTTCTTTTCGAAATTTTTGTTTTAACAATATGGGGATGAGGAACAAGAGTAACATTGAACTCATATTAGAGCTTCTCTTGATTCGTGTGAATTTGAGTTTTGTAGTCTAGAACATCGAAGAAGAATTGAAGACTAGATTTTTTTTCAAAAATACTTCCAAAAATAGTTTCATTGATGATGCAAATCAGAAGAATACTCGGGAGCTGCAGATGCCCATCGTTACAATTTGCAATTCCAAGTACACTTTTTCATTTGATTAACAGTCTACTTATGAAAATTGTGAATGAACATCTCACAGGTTTTATTGCACTTCAAAAATTAAAAGATGAAAAGAAATGTGGTTTTGGAAGAAGATCTTCCTCATCATCGACAAACAGGGGGTATCTCTGGTATCTGTAGAGTAGGGAGGGTGAGTGTAGACTCACAGCACTTAGGCCACATGTGACCCATTGTACATCCTCCCCTGGAGTTGTCCTCCTAATCCATTGTCCATCCTGTCGTTTCCAGGAAGGTGAACAGGTTTCTGGGAGACATATCCTTTATATCGGCAGGTTTAGGCCAAGACTCGTCGAACACACACTCTCTTTGGCAACCTTGAGGTGTCTCACGGTAGCTTCCGCGAAGGTTCTGGAAGGTGCAGCGACATTACTGTCGTTGCGTGGCTTCTTCAACCTTCTTGGATTTCTTTTCGTGGAGGTGCACAAGTGAAGGAGCTTTCCTGCAGGGGCAGCCGGTTCCTTGCCTTTATTCAAGGCGGAGCTTTTGGCCCCTGCTGCAGGAAGTGCCCTTGCTGTTGGAGGTGATCTGCTAGGTCCCGCCTCATTCCAAACGGTAGATTGGGGTGGACATTTCTGTTCTTCCCAAGCCACCTCCTTAGATTGAGGTGAGCACTTCTGTCCAGCCTCGAAATTGTTTTTTTTGTTGTTTCTGTTGTTTCATTCATGTGTGTTCCCACGAGTATCAAGGGAAGAGTTGGTCACCTCTGGCAGAGCTCCGCCAAGGTTTCGCCCAGTTCCCCAAAGGGATCGTTGGTGACCGCACATCACTCTGCGGCCATTCAGCTGTCGGCACGATTCCTTACACCTTAGCGTGGGTAGGCCGGTTCACGATGACATGTTTTTCCAAGGCTTTTGGGAGGGTTTTAGTTCCCCTCACCCTACTTATTTCCGCCACTGAGCAGGAGTCCGGCGACCCCATCCGTAAGGCCACATTGGCTTCCCCGGCATGGCCCCCAGTCCTTTGGCCGTTCCCCTATCCGCCACCCACCTGGGGATTCGTCCGATAAGTAGCCCAACCCACGGGCAAACAGGAGATACAAGATACTTTCGTATTCCGTTTACTCAAAAATGTATTAGCGATCTGTTGCTGGTCCATTCAATTTTCAAATGATGGATGTCGAAGGCTCTCTACTAACTGGTATGAAATCATCTTCAATTTTCCGCTGTTGAAGTATAATATCTATGGTAGATTGAAAGCGTGTCGTTTCAAGTATTGAATCCTCAAAGCACAAAAATTAGATTCATCAGCATAATCAGCATGTATATCATTTGACCGCGTTTTAAAAATGTGTTATAATTTCTTCCTTTTCCAGCGTTGAGGAAGATAGTGAAGAGGGCTCTATGGGGTATTGATGAAACATATTTGGTGCAGATTGAAGCAATATTAATTGCAAACTGTAAAGCAAATGGTCGTCTTGAAGTACAGGATGATCTGGAGGTGAGACATACGATGAATATCAAATACAAATTGTACAAATATGGAGATAATTGGTTAATTACATACAATACGTTGTCTTGAATTCATTTTATCATCATTTCATCATCAACAAACATCTCATAACTTCATAAATTGTAACATATTCACTTTTGAAGGTATTAAGATAGATATATTTGGAATTGGGTCGACTAACTGAACCCACCACTGTTTTTTTCGTTAACATTTCCATTTCCATAATCAACGTAATCATGGCTCTATAATAGTCAAAACTTCGACGAAAAAAGCGATAGAGGTTTCAATTATTTCACCTATTCTCACCTAAGTCTCTAATCGTTGAATTCGGTAAGGTCAAAACACAACATTCAATGATCAGAGACTGTCCCTCTATTATATTGGTGGATTAATTCATGATAGAATTATTCTAGATTGAAGAACATTCATTTCTGAATACTCTGAACAACATCTTACATACCTTTACTATTTTTTCAGAATACATATAGCCAACTGAATCGATGTGCCGCTAGAAAAACGAAATTCATTACTCCCAAAGCCGAATACCTCGCTAATTTAGAAGAGTGCAGCCGAGAGGCTATCAGGAAAACAAGAAACTGTTTAGCTGAGGATCAAAAATATTTCCCAGAATTCATTCTGGATTTGGCTAAGTCTTATTTCACTTTCTTGTACGATGACTTCGAAATAATGAGACGTGAGTTGACAATTAATATTGGCTTCGATTTTTCCTTCATTCATCATTCGTGAAAACATTGTTCAATTGAAGATTTTTTCCTTAATACATAAAAATGTTGAAACAGTTGAGGTCTTCGCTCTCTCAGATAGCATGAACATTCTGTTCTGTTGAATCGTCACGTAGTGGAATATTTCTAGAAATATTCATATACTNCATCTCTTTCTTGAACACATTTAAAATCACTTCTTTCATCTCAACACTCAAATGTCTTTTTTTGGATCGTTTCCTGGCTGGACTCAGAGGATAGCTCACTGTGTCATCAGCAGTCTCTGTACTGGACATCTTGGAAAACAATTTTAAACAATATACTATAACGCACACCACACAAACACGCAAACGACTGTTTACAACCCTGTGCAGGTACCGAACTCGTACCAAGAAGGCGAATTCACCAATGAACATCACGCTTCGGTTTTGTTTTGTTTCACTCTATCTTGGATTTGGATAGACTTTAGACTACTATAAACTCATAACATTTTGAGAATATATCATACAGGGTGTTTATTTAACATGCGTCAACATTCCTTGGACTATTCTAAGGATATTTTGTCTTCTGATGATTTTCGATACGGCGCTTTGTGCCGAAGATACGGAACAAAAAAAATTGACTATAACAATTTACTACCAAAAATTAAATGTAATGTTTCTTAATCTGCAAGAACTGTTGGTAGGTTTTTGAATAAAGGAATAAGGAAAGATATTCTGCCAGCGGGAGTTGTTTAACAGACAAACTCGTACTGTAGTGTTTCTTAATCTGCAAGAACTGTCGGTAGGTTTTTGAATAAAGGAATAAGGAAAGATATTCTGCCAGCGGGAGTTGTTTAACAGACAAACTCGTACTGTAGTACGTTAGTACTACGTTAGTAGTTACTGAAAGTTGTCAACTTTTGAGAGAGACTTGTCATTATATATTATACTTGTATATAAATCCCAGAACGTAAGCTAAGCTTTCAAGTTTTCATTGAACTTCGACAAGAAGGAGATTAAGGTTGCTGTATTTAGTGTATTTCTTGATATTGAAGGGGCATTTGACAATGCACTACCTAAATCTATAGGATCGTCTCTGGCTAGGAAAGGTATAGAATCGACCATAACTGGCTGGATCCATGCCATGCTTGTGAACAGAACTGCAACTACGACTCTTCAAGGCGAGGTTCAGGGTCACCAGGGGCTACTCTCAGGGTGAGCTACTATCTCACCTTCTGTGATCGCTCCTGATGGATAGTCTGATTGATACCCTCGACAGAAGAAAAGTACATCTGCAAGCGTATGCAGATGACCATATCATCTTGGCAAGGTTCACGTCGGTAAGGGTAGCTGGTAATATTCACCAAAGCACGTAGGACGTTGTTCAGAGTTGGTGCCTGAGGGAGCAGATGTCTGTCAACCCCAGCAAAACTGTGATAATCCTCTTCACCAGGAGGAGAAAATTGGACGATGTAACGCCACTTTCCCTCAACAGTGAGCCATTTGGAATGGAGGTGAAATATCTTGGCATTATCCTTGATAAAAAACTCAGCTGGAACGCTCACTTGGGAAAAGTTTCACACAAAGCCAGACTGTATCTATGGACATGTCGAAGGATTTGTGATAAAACTTGGGGTTTAGGTCCCAAACAAATCCATTGGATTCATGTGATGATTGTCAGACCATTGATCACGTATGGTGCAATTGCTAGGTGGCCGAAGGCTTTACAGAAAACGGCCCAAGCGAAGCTCTCTGGCTCACAGAGACAGGCTTGTCTGGCCATCAGTACCATACCGTCAGCGGCCATGGAAATCCTTCCACATCTAGCTCCTCTCCACGTTTTTCTGGAAAGAGAGGCTGAATGGACTGCATACAGACTTGTGCACATTGCCAATCACTTTCATGCAGAGTTCAAAAGACTGTTGACACTGGAAGTCACAACATTTTGGAAACGACCCCTGATTTTATGCCTCCAACTGTCAACTACCAACGGCCTTATAAAGTACTGTTCCCGAGTAGAGAGGACTGGATCCTCCGGGAGAAGGAAATATTGAAAGCAGATAGTTGTTGGTTCGCAGATGAATAAAATGAACCGGGCACGTGCATTTTGAACAATCTGAATACGATTTTGATCGTGATTGGTTAAACTAGAGTAATACACCATATTTGCAAAGTTAAAGTGGCTCAACACTAAGGTTTCACACAATATCTTTTTTGTTTTAACATCTAAAATTTTTGAAAAATTTGATACCAGTTTGAGGTTACAATATGCATTTTTGATGCATTTCGTTACATGTGCACTGAATCTCAACTCTGTGTCCAGAACTACACCTAAGTTTCTTGTTGAGCTCACGGCTTCAATGTCTTCTGTACCAATTTTGATGTTAATTTGATCAAGTTTATTCTTGTTGTTCCTGTTACCAAAAATTAATAACTTGGACTTGACAGGATTAATTAGCAGACAGAATTTGGTTATAGTTTCAAAATAAACAAACACCTCGTCAGTGAGTTATTTCATTATAATTTCATTGGCACCTCTTACAACATTGAAAAATGTCATAAATGTTATGAAGTTTGTGGCAGGTACATGTTATGAAATGCTTTCCTGAAAGAAAATACAATCACATTCGAAACGTTGTCAAGTAACAATTGTTTTCCTAAGGGATGTTAATCCTGTTACCCGACAAACTATTCTAGGAAAAAGTTATTGGTATAAAGAAATATTTACAAAATATTCATAATGGTTGAAAATATTATATCTATATCAATATCTCTTTTTTTGTTTCAGTTGACCTGCCTTCATGTGTTCGTTCCACCCTGAATTCAGATGCTCAAAGAGAATATACACAATGTTTGACAGATGCTACTGCCCAAACTAATTTTACCTGGATAATCCCATCTTCAAAAAGGTCTTTCTGCGAGTAAGTTGGATTCCTGCTTTCTTTTAATTTTATTAACAACCACAGTATAGAGAATACATTAATACGATAAACGATGTGTTTCAGGAAATTAACAGTAATTTAATTTATTAGCTTCGACAGCGAGCGATGGTCTTGCCTCCCAACATGATATTCACAGTTTGTTTATGGACGAATTTTATGAAATGCAAACAATCCACACGCAACTTTTTTCTACATTGAGTAACTCGCCAAATGTTTCTTCTGTCATTAGTAAAAATGTCAAATCACCCAAAATTGAATTGCCAAAGTTCAGTTGAGAACCAAAGAGTTGGCAAACTTTCATAGACACCTACGATTCCCTCATTCATTGAAATAGTTCACTAACTCACATTGATAAATTTAATTATCTCATTTCTTCTTTCCAAAATTAACCTCTAGCTCTTGTTGAACGTTAACTGCTCAAAATTATTCAAATGCTTACAATATCTGAAACAGAGATATAAAAATAAGCTTTAAATTGCAACTATCGCTCGTTATAAAATTTATCAAATGTTTTTCACGAAATTTTGTCATTGCTTGACAATTTAGGTTATGAAGTTATCAATTGGGACTTTTCTTATAAATAGTCATCTCTCGAAGGAATCAGTCCAGTCATCACCCGAAGACGATTGTAGATGCTTACAATCGAAACGTCGTGAACTAACGTGACTTGGAATCTCTCCACTTTTTATTTTTATTTTCTTCTTTCATTTCTTTATTTTTATTTATTCAATTGTTCTATTTTTACTTGTATTTTATTTCACTATTATTTCATTTCAGGTTTATTTTGGTTAATATAATTATTTAGTTATTTTCAGCAATTAATTTTCAATTCTTCTTTTTTAGTTGTTTCAGGGATTTCAAATCATTTTATATAGTAGACAATGGAAGTCCGAACTAGTGAAATTCAATATTTTTTCTTTGTTACAGCAAAATTCTTCCTGCGACCAAATGTTTCACCGAAATTATTAAGAATTATTGTCAAGATAGTGAAAATCTCAGGAAATTCAGAAATGACTATATAGGAGCTATAGAAGTTCCTTGTGGAATAAAGAAGTAATGTACATAATTACAATCGATGGTCATTTATCGTGGTGATTTATATTGTTCCAATATTACAGAATGTATTCAGGTTTTTTTGTTAGTAAAAATGAATAAATTTTGCTGAGGTTGTCGATGTCTGTCTTTTTGTTGATATTTTTTTCTTCAACTGTATTGCCAAATATGCGGCAAACTAACTGACCATTATCAGACAACAAGTATAGGTGAGGCACCAGTAAATCTAATAATAACACTGATGATCTTCAAACTTGACTCAACATCTGACGGATGCACCAAACTCTTACGAAGGTTTGAAAGAGATGAATACTTCAATATAGCAGACCACTATTCAAATCTGCATGCAGTCACTGTGGTTCTGGCGTAGAATCTGGTAATTATTACACATTGGTCAAAGACGAAACAGACTGGTCTAAGTTTGACGATAGTCGTGTCGCTAAATATTCTGGCGATATCTTGAATTGGAGTCTCTGGAGACACCCTACATTTCAATCTATGAAAGAGAGGAGATTGGCAGATCAAGTTCTCCAGATGATGTGGTGCTGCAGGTTTTTCCGGGTTTTCTTGCAGCTGAAAAAGCAAATGCGCCACTGGGGATTATTCAAGTCGCCCCGGAGCGCCAATTAATTTTTGTTGTTGTTGTTTCATTCAGAAGACCCCATATAAATGAGGATTCTCATCACTCCAAAATCGACACGGATATTCCTATCCGTGAAAACTTCAGATTTCATATTCGATAACTTAACGGGGAGATGAGGTCAACTAAGAAGAAGGAGAACTCAGATAAAACTCAACAACATGTAAGTAGTAGGTAGTAGAGAGTTTATGGACTACTCTATCTCTGAACACGTAACGAATACCATTTTACCAGTATAGTAAGAAGTGAGTTGAGCAAGGTCAACAAACTTCTGAACACGTAACAGCACACCTTGATAATGACAAATGAGATTTTGTCGAAACGTCGGTGAAATTAGAGATAATATCACATACACGGATCAAATACCCNATTCAGTGTTCATATAGAAGTATTTGTTTCGAAAGAATTTTTTTCTTTCGTGTAATTCAATGTTTATATGAAAGTAGCTGTTTCAGGAGGACTTTCTTTCAGTTTGTGTCTGAAAGTTACTTCTTTGCATGATCTACACATCCATGTATAGAGTTACTTATTTTCAAATTGATTACTTCCTTCCTTTCTTTGGAAGATTCTCTCATCCATTTTTTTTGTATCAGATGGAGTAGTAGAAAGCCAAAAACTGGTTATTATGTTGCTATTATGTTGTCATGCTGTTACCTCTTGTGAGTGGCGTTGTTCCACCCCGAGGTACGTCTCTCCGGCATCCAGATGATGTAGGATGCTTCCATCTACGAGCTGCACATCCCCTCCGTAGTCCCCGCATCGTCCTCTTTTGAGATGGACCATTGCTATCCCTAATTTCATACATTATCATTATTATTATTATTATTAAACGTGTTTGTGTCGTACATTTCTTCTTAAATGATTATCATCGAACATACGGGCAGCAGCTCTAGCACTATTTCCATTCTGGTAGTATAAACTCACTATTTCAATCCTTTCTCGAAACGAATAAACCATTGCTTCTCAAGAATTTACAAAAACAGAAACACCAATTGTAACTTCACCTGTTAGGTAATCGTTGCTGTAGAATGAGACAAATAAAAATGAAGAAAATATCGAATTGAAACTTAACTAGGCAAAATAAGACTTTTTTGAAGTATACTTCATACTTTCATACACCTATGAAACCTAGGTAACATATTGTACAGAAGTTCATCCAGGTTGGCTCGTTTTCAACTCAAATAATTTTCAGGTTCCAAACTATGAGCTTCAGACCATGATGTATTCTGCTTCGTTGAAATCCGTTAATCTCAGAACATCTGATAATGCAAAACAATTGATCCTTACTCTGGGGATGAGGTAGGGAAAGTTAGATCAAAAGTGAATATGTCAAAATGAGCTCCCCTGTATACTATTGTTGAGGTGTTTTTTTTATTCTTCCTGAAAATCATTGTTCCAAAAGTGATTCAGGGTGGCTCGTTTAAAATGGAATGCACTGTATAAGCGTTCTTGGTATCAATGACGAATTCTCTAGGAATGGTTCATTTATAAATTCCAGAATTTTGCTTAGTTCATTTGCGAATTATCTATGATACAAAAAGTACAGAAAAGTGGAAGCGTTTTCATCGAAACTTAGTCAGCATCAATTAAAGATTCCTATTTTGGTATAATGTTGAGAAAGTTATCCAGTGGCTTACCCTAATTAATGGCAGTAACTTGTTTGAGTAATAGATACGAAACAGCTTTATTGTTTATACTTACTTACATGTATTTACCGCTGCGTAATCTCTCAAAACAGTTCTGAGATAAAAGTTCATAACCTTATTCGATAACTAAACAGAAAAGTTATTAGTTTGACCTTATCCCAGACTCGATTTGAACGAACAACATCCAGTTGTAGTTCGTAATTTGTACGAGTCATTAGGTTTTAAATTCGGGTTCTAGTTTCCAATATGAAGTGTTCCGTATTTATTTTGTTGCTATTAGGTGAGTTGAGAACACGAATGATTTGAAATTAAGAAGAAAAAATTAAAAATGTCATGTTAAAAACTATAAATAATAAACCCACCTCGCGTCGCGTATGTAATAATATGGATCATAAAAAGCTTTCACAAAACTTTCCAGATTACATATGTGATGGATTCGGCCGATACTTGATGAAAATTCATAACGTATTCTTAACATTTATTTTCTGGAGTGACAAGAAATAGTTTTTTACAAATCGAAGAAAATCTTGAACATTGAAGTAACAGTTGAAGTAACTATTTGTCAGTTGTTCACCTCAAAAGTTGATGTATTTTGAAAAAGACTTCAGTGTGAGATTTTCACTAGAACAGATTGACAAATCCGCAACACGTGTTTCGCTGCACACTAGCTTTTTCAAGCGTGTTCACTAACAAGCTGAATTCTACATACATTGTGATTTATATATACTTTTTGAGATATTACTATCTACCTAGAAACTAATAATATTCTAGGAACTAATTGATGACTGTTATACCTGAGTTTAACGAACATTCATACCTGAGTTCAATGACTAGGTCGACTAATTATCTCACAATAAAGTGTGAATGTGATGAAAATCTATGATAATGTATTTTGAAAAACAAGTATCGACCAACTCTATCTTATATTTTGAAGTTAATAAATATAACAGTCTATTTAATAAATATAATAAAATATATTTAATAAATACAAAACAAAGTCACCTTCACAAGAAACAGAACACACTACGAATAATTACCTATGTTATGCTTATGGAGTTTCAGAATCCATTGNTTAGCTCCTTCAAAATGAGATTCCCATGGTTCCATATCATGAAGGTGTCGTCAACGTATCTCAACCAGACTCGGGGTTTCTTGTGGGCTTCTGTAACTCTGGCCATAGAAACCGAATCACCGAGAGACCTCAAAGACATACCAGAAAGTGCATATCAGAACAGCTTCGAGAATTGGTAAAAGCGCTGGCACAAGTCTATATCTGAGGGGGACTACTTTGGAGGGAACAAAATGTAAGTTGATAAATGAATAAATATTTTTCGAGAAAAATGAAAATTCACCTCATTTTTCAAGAGAGTAGTTAACCTTTTTGTGACCATATTGTTTTTCAAATAACTATAAAAAAATTGTCAATTTCCATTAATTGAAAGCGAATGTCATTGCCTGTATTCATATTCGAATTTCCCGGGTAGAATAAATAGTTTTGCGTTGAAAGTTTCGTCTGCATATGAAATGAGATTATCCCCCGATTTTATACAGCCAATACTATTTATGTAAACTAAAAATGACATCGGCCCCAATACTGTGCGTTGTGGAATACCAATTGTGATTCCATTTGAAGAACTGAGTTCACCGCCAATTTTAACGGTTTGTTTCATGTGCCATAAATAATTTATCAAAATGTTCAATGCTGCGCTGGGCCACGAATATCGTTGAAAGATTCAGAATCACAGGATAGTACAGTTTCCAAGAATACGAATATGAGTTGAGAGACTGCGGAGGACTGAACATAGAACATATTATACAGGGTGACAATTTGAAAATTTACAATAGCTATATCTGAGCAAACACATTAAATATAAGAAATCGCTGAAAAAACTTCCATGATAGGAAGAGGGAAACAAAATGATGTAATAGCCCCCCCCAGTCATCCCAACTTCATAGTCTTGAATGGCAACCTCCACTTGTGATACCTTATCTGTTTATGCTTGAGGAAGGTATTGTATAGCGAAACACGTGTCGCGGTTTTTGTAAAACCCTGTATAGTGAAAATCATACAATAAACTGTATTAATCAGTTTTTTCAATATGGATTTTCATCAAGTATCGGCCTGTTCCATTCAAAATTGAATTGAAATTGAATTTCCTCAAAATATTCAAAGATGGAAAGCAGTAACTGCATTGAAAGTTATGAATTTCTTTCATAATGACACCATGTAATATTCAGACATTATGATGATAACTGAATAATTTTTTTTCCAGGGTTATGTGCAGCAGAGATACCAGAAATTCCAGAATTGGATGATTTGGAAGATTTGAAAGAGAGATGTGATACAAAAGGTGGAACAGGTACTTTTGAAAAAGTTAAGGTGAGAAACTCAAGTTGAGTTTAATTTAATCTTCCTCTTGAAGATGATCACTTGGTGATTGTTGAAAATAACGTTTTGGTGTTGGGATGAAACTTCAGTAATAGTCATTAACTGACAGCAAAGTGAGAAACTCAAGGCACTGTTGAATGTTTTTTTTTCTGATATTCGAAAAATAATAACCTTCATTTCGATATGTACACTAAGTAGAAGTACTCAACCATTACATCAATCTGAGTTCAAAATTCCCAACTTTCATTATTCGTGTATTGTTCGTCCTTCTTTGAATTGATTCTTACTGAGGTTGGGTTGAGGTGGATTCAATGTTGCACTTGATCATACTTTTCCAGAAAAAAAACAACTCTACAAGCAGTGCTGTCCACTACTTTTATGAAAACCTGACTTACTTAGATGATGAGGGCGTGTGCCCTGTTGGGATCTTCTGTTATTTCAGCAGGGCTTTAGACTGCGTCAACCATATCACCCTAATAACTGAATCAATAGTAAGGAAGTAGCCGGTCGACAGGAAAAAACAATTTTAGAACTATTTCACAACAATTTTAGAACAATTTTAGAATAACAATGACAAATGCTCCTGAAGATGTTTTATTTCTTTATATAAAAACAGCGCACCATACAAAAAAAGGCAAGAGACATGTTTTTGTCATAAATTGAACGAGTAATTCAGAAATGATTGTTAGTTTGTAATATCTCAGTGACATGACTTTTTTTTTTTCGTTAAAAAAATTGAGCTCATTACCCGTATGCGCGCCAATGATGAACATAAAATTCCTAATTGCATGTCAGAAAACGCGTAATAATCATCTCTCCAAATTCAATTTGCATATCTTGACCGGTTCCAGAACAATAAATAAATAGTCAGTTTTTAAGTGAAACTTCAACAACCTGTATCTCGAAAAACTAATTATTTGCGGATAAAAGTTATATAGCATAATGTCATAATTTTTTCATACAGAATCACACTCTGAAGTTTATTTCACTCATTCACTAATACCCTAATGTATGCGATACAGTTGCAATTTTTGACACATGTTAATGTTTTGACAAATCAGATCCAAAAACGATGATGCCAAGAGGCCTAGAGTGGTGAAAAAGTGGAAAATGTAGAAACATCTCATGACTATGAATGAAGTGGATTTTCGAGAATTCGATCACCTGTTTTTTTGCAGTTGTTTTCTTTAGATTCCTCATGAGGAATTCCTCCTCATTTCATATGATTGTGAATGATCTTCATATGATTGTGAATTACTGCCCATACGTTAATACTAAATCGAGATCAAATTTTTCGGAACTGCCTGGGGTTGTTTATACTCCAAATGTGTTCGTTATTTTGGTTGAATATCCCACAATTCGTAAAAGTGCTCTCATCTGTCCAAATTACATTTTTCAGGAAAACAGGAAAATCAGGTCTTCTTATTAACCAATAACAAAATTCTAATCGCCTTTCGAAATCACCTGGATATGTGTATTTTGTAACATTTCAAACCCCTTTTTATATATGTCTCGAAGCACTTGTATGACAAATATTCATTCATTTCCCCGGGTTCATGTTTATCTGCAAATTAATAATTTTCATTGAGAAGGACACAATATCTAACTGACCTCATATATACCTCCTCTATCAAATTTTCTTTAGTTTCCTGCTCCATTCTGTTTCCCTATTTTTTCCTCGGCTTTTCAAATGAAGCAAACTCGGTGAGATTTCGATCCAATAACTTGAACATAGTTCGATATTTGTAATTAATTTGTATCATATCTCTTTTTTCTTCATTTGTGAAAGCTATTTTCCGACAAAAATTCAATGACTTGTACTATAACAAAATGTCATTGAGTGTTACAAATTGAAAGTCAAATTAAGAAACATCAAAATTAAAGCCTATTATAAGAATTACTTTTTTTAATATCTCCAATTTTTCGAAAAAGAATGATAACTTATGATACATCATCGGAAAAGTAAAATATGATTCTATGCAAAACAGAAGTATCTGTTGAAAAATGGATTTCACTCCTTTAAAGAATGTTGTTTCATTCTTAGTTTTTGTTCTATTTTTTATTTATTCGACTACTGTTTTTTAAATATTACTGGAGTTTGTTCCCAACACCAAACGGTTATTTCAACACTTCGATACGTGTTTCGATCACCAAGTGATCATCTTCAGGAGTTTAATCTTCCTCTTGAAGATGATTACTTGGTGATTGGTGACACGTGTCAAGGTGTTGAAATAGCGGTTTGGTGTTGGGAAAAAACTCCAGTAATATTCATTACTACACCAAAGGTTCTAAACAGTGCATCACAAGTACTGTTTTTTGACAAATTCTACACATGTTTCACTAAGAAAATATAGTATATTATCATTATCATTATTTATTCTCTGCTCTCTCATTTCAGGTTGCCAAAAATGAAACTGAAACTTGCCTTAAGAAACTAATCGATGTTGAAAAATTCAAAAATGAAATCGAGGAAGCCAAGAAGACTGGTTCGATGGATGAAGTTTTTGCAAAGTATTGCAATAAGAGATCTGAAATGGAAGCCTGTATTAGGAAAACATACAATGCTTTAGAACCTTGTTTAGAAAGCAATGAAAAGCAAGTCATTAATTTTACAGCTAACATATTGAAACAACTTGGTGACTTTGTTTGTGCTAAAGATGGTGACAGACTCGCTAGTAAGTTCCCTTTATATTATTTTTCAAAAGCATCGTTTTCAAGCTTAACTTTGATCTGATTTTTATTATTTTTGGAAAGTCAACCCTCAATTAGGTATTTATTCTGTTTACAATAATCACTAATGACAATACCAATGAATACTTGACGAAATGTCTTGTTCTTGTCTGTCCTGAGTATGGACGGATCAATATTTGTACAGACAGCAACAGCGCACTAGGGGCTCTGACAAACCCGAAGGTGACATCAAAACTGATCTGGGAATGCCATGAAGAACTGAATGAACTTGCCAACAGGAACAAATTAACTTTGGGTGCCAGGGGATTCAGGAATCGCAGGTAATGATAAAGCTGATGAATGCGCTAGACGCGGATCATCAACTTCATATATAGGCCCTGGACCAGCTCTGGGTGTACCAAAAGCAATGGTACGAAACCAGATTAGCACATGGACCAATAAGGAGCACACAGAGTACTGGACAAAAGTATCTGGCAACAAACACGGTAGAACCTTCATTAGGGAACCGAAGAACTACTTCAATATAGTAGGGATCGGCTCAGAATAATTACAGGGTTACTAACTGGTCATTGTCCGCTTAGAGGACTGAATAAAATAGGGCTGTACAACGGAGACCTCAGCTGCAGATTATGCAACGAAGGGATAGAAACAGCTCTACACATTTTATGCGAATGTGAGGCACTGAATCACAGGAGGCAGGCAATATATGGACGTACAAAATCACGCCCAGAAGAATATGACGAACATCCAACACGGAACCTGTACAAACTAGTACAGGGAACGAGACTGATGGAATGGGAGAATAAACGTAATAAGCCCAAGAGGCTGAAGTGTTTTCTGGAGACTTGGACTAAATGGACAAGTCAGACATCTTCTAAGGTAGGTACCAAAAAAATGGACGGTATTGATATTTAAATTTTCAATTCCACCAGTAAACACGTAAATCTGCATAGACAGTACTGATTTTTCACCAATATACAGGCTGATTCACGGAGGATGGCACATTAGACGTTTTTGGTGAACCAGACAACGGATCACTTTGAAAATTTGATGGAGGGCATATTCGAACATTCTCTAGCCAACTAAAATATTTTCGACAATGCGGTGTTGCCGCTTCTATTAGAAAGCAGTAGCAACTTTAGGAGAGTACGTTTTGCGAAGTGATTGATATGTAGAGATAGGGAATATTTGTAAAAAAAATGATATGGACAGAGGAATACGAATCAAAATTCACCAATAATGGTTGGTTCAACAGAAATATCCATTATAGATGGAATAATACAAATTAATATCCACATAGGTAAACCAATTTCCAAGAAAGATTCGGAATAAATGTCTGGCTGGGAATTGTGGAAACAAACATCCATGGCACTTTCTTCTACGATGATCATTTAGATAGTGAAATGTATCTTCATTTTCTATTCAATGAATTCGATGGCTACTCAGAAGAATTGCCACTTAATATCCGTCATGAAATACAATATTTTCAGCTGAAGGGTGCTCCTCCCCATAATGCAGCGATAGTAAGACAACATTTAGATGCAATATCCCCAAGAAAATTGATTGAAAACAATGGACCAATTAAAGACCCAGCTCAATCCCCATATCTTACTCCTTTAGATTTTTTTGTCTGGGAATACACAAAGGATAATTTTTTTAACCACCAAGTACAGATATCGACCATCTCAAACAAAAAATAAGAGATGCATGTATTAGTATTACATCTGTTATGCTAGAAAATTGCCACAGCATCCAACAAAGAGGTCGTCAATTCGAACATTTAATGTAGATTGCCATGTAGCTTTGATTTTCCGTATTGGTTTCATTTTCTCCAAAAGTTCATGATGAAATAAATTGTTTTTCTGTTTGATTGTTGTCACTGATAATGGTGGTTATTTCAAATGAAACGCTATAAAAATAAAAAATGTTGTATACCCTTAGATTGTGAATTTATCGCTTTATCAATATCTGTAATAAAAAAGGCAGGACCGCATTTTAAACAAAGTTGATGGTGGCCATATTGACACGAAACGTTTTATCAAATAGTAGACTTCGAATACAATTACATTTCCTTTTCAATTTTTTTATACTCTCCGAAATAACAATTCCATTCGAAAAAAAACGAAAAACAGCATTTTTGGTATTCTCCGTTTACCTCGAGAAGGGCGAGAGTCCCCGTAAATTTTTTTCGACCATTGTATTGTTCCCGATGACAGTTATCTTTTTTCCCATTCAATAGTTTTCGTATCTGTTACGGTCTATAATATAACAATGTTAGCACATGATAAAAGAAACGGCCTGTATAGCAAAAGAGCATTCTGAAAATAGTAGAAATAGTTTTAATAATCTGAGTTCTTGACTCCTGAGTTTTTCATTGATGGTGCTTTTGATTTCGACTACAGTGAAGTCTCCATTTGATACTCCTCGAATAGAAACACACTTTGAGGATCATGTGACTTGACACCGAGATGTGGACCTGCACGTTCTCCAGATTTCGTCACTGGCCTTCTTCGCAAGGGTCTCCATTTGCCTACTTTCCAGCAAGATCTGAGGTCCTCCGGCTTTTGCTCGTATTTAAGTTGCTTTTCGTTTTGGCAAAGGGAGGTTTTGAGTTTGTTCTGTTTCTTGGATCTATCATGGTTGTGATTGTGTCTAATGAATGTATGTATGACATAATTCAAGATAGAATTTAACTGAGGGGGATGATGGTGGGACTATGAAGAAGTCATTGTTGTGGGTTGTTTTTCACTAAATACGATGTTCAGCTATTGAAATAAGACAGCAAATTGTTATAAAAGCCATACTTAGACTATCGAAACCCCAGGAACATTTTTTCAGAGCTTCCTGTTAACTCATCAACGAGTTGAAACCGAAATTCATTCTCACATATTCTATTATTCTAATAGTAGTCGCTTATATATGTGTTTATTTTCAGTGTTCGTAGCAGAAGGAGGAGTGACATGCATTAAATCACGGTCTGAAGGTATCAAGGACTGTTTGAATCAAACACTCAAGTTCAACCCTGCAACTTTCTCTCCAGAATCCATGCACAGTTTCACCATTGACAAAAAAAAATGCGAGTAAGTGGAGACTTTGTATTAGTTACCTGAAAACATAATAATAAGACAACTGATTGTTTGAAGGTGGCTGACAATGTTACGTGGTGTATTTCATCAGTTCGGACTTCCATTTTCTAATATAATATAAATTGATTTGAAATCCCTGAAAAAAATTAAAAAGAATAACAGAAAATAACAATTTTATTGAACAGAAAACTATGAAAGCGTTGAAGGGCCACACAAAAATATTTTTTTCGATTTGTATAATTCTGACTTTCATCTCAGAATTCTGACTTTCATCTCAGAATTCTGACTTGTAAGTCAGAATTCTGACTTGTATCTCAGAATTCTGACTTGCAAGTCAAAAGTCNGAAAAGACTTCAAACCAAGTTATGTCACGACGTTTCGATTGTTAATATCCACAATCGTCTTCGGGTGATAACTATTTTTCATTTTTGTTAATGTTAATAATTTTTATTTTTCAGCTTTCATTAATATTTCAATTTTTATTTGTTTGGTTGTTACTTGTATGTTATTTCCTTGCAATTTAAGTTTTTTTGTTTGATAAAATTGTTATTTTCGGTTAATCTTATTAATTTTTCAATTGTTTTTTCAGGGTTTTCAAATCAATTTATATTAGACAATGAAAGTCCGAAGTGATGAAATAAGACAGCTGATTCAGTACAATTTCTGAAATAGAACCGACCCATAAATACCTGAAAACTTAGGCGACGAAGAGGTTGCTTGAGAGCAACGTGATTTTAAAAATAAATGAAATTATGAGTTAATTTCCACTCGAATATTCATAGATGAATTTTTTTATGATTGGTATAAATATACAAAAATATCTGAAATGGTGAACTATATTGTCGTGAATTACTTTTTCACCGGGAATTTAATAGCAGTCGAAAAAACTCCTGATGAACTACGCCACATTTATTTAAGGAAACAGTGAGCAAAACCTTGACATTTGATCGGAGTTGGCGTGCTATTTCTGGTCTTGACTCTTCAGGAGGAGACAATTGGACGATCTAACGCAACTAACCCTCAATGGTGAGGTTTTTCCATTTGGAACGGAGGTAAAATATCTTGGTATTGTCCTTGATAAAAACTCACCTGAAAAGCTCGCTTGGAAAAAGTTTTACACAAAGCCAGACTGTCCCTATGGACATGTCGAGGAATTTGTGGTGAAACTTGAGGTTTAGGTCCCAAACAAATTCATGGGATTTATGTGAAGACTGTCAGAGCAATGATCACTTATGGTGCAATTGCCTGGTGACCGAAGGCTTTACAGAAAACGGCCCATGAAAAGTTCTCTGGCTTACAGAGACAGGCTTGTCTGGCCATCAATGGTAGCATCAGTACCACACCGTCAGCGGCCATGGAGATCCTTCTAGATCTACCTCCTCTCCACATTTTTCTGGAGACTGCATATATACTTGTACACATTGCCAATTGCACAAATCAATTTAATGTAGAGTGCAACAAACTGTTGGTTGACTTTGGAAGTCATAGCATTCTGGAAATGACCTCTGACTTTATGCTTCCAACTGTCAACTACGAACTGTTTTATAAAGTACTGTTCTCGAGTAGAGAGTACTGGATCCTCCGGGAGAAGGAAATATTAAGAGCAGATAGTGGTTGGTTCACAAATGGATCGAAAATACCTTCCGGTTCTGGTGTAGGTGTTTTTAGTCGCAGACCTAGGACAGAGATATCAACCTGCCTAGGAACCTATGCGACTGTATTTCAAGCGGAAATTTACGATCTTGAATTGTGTGCGCAGAGATTGGAAGAATCCAACCTCAAACACAAGTCAATAAAAATATTCTCGGACAGTCAAGCGGCGTTGAAAGCTCTTGGCTCCTACCGAGCAACGTCTAAATTTTAGCAAATCGCCAAAAACGACTCTCCTCGATAGGAAGACTTAACAGATTGTCTCTCGTCTGGATTTCTGGCCATACTGGCCTGGAAGGCAATGAGGCTGCTGACTCCTTTGCAACGGAGGGTGCTGCAAGCAGCTTCATCGCTTTAGGCTTTGCCGAATAAAGATTGAACACCTAGATGGCAAGAAGATGTATGAACTTCTGACAGAATCTTTCAGGATTGGCTCACTCCACAGCGTTTATTCACCATTCAAACTTGATACTCCCGAGGAGTTGTCCTCCNCATCTCAGTCTTCTTGGGATTGATCGACTGTGAGTTTTCCTTACACCATGTTTCTATTAATTTACTACGATGTCTAACAGGTCTTCTTACAGGGGACCGAATCAGGTTTTTAGAGTTCGGCAGAGCCGTACTCTAACCTTCTGACCTCTCACCATCTGACTTGAAAGACCAAAATCACCATACAAACTGAACGGCTTCGTTGAGAAGCGTGGTTTATTTGGTCGAGTGTGAATAGGTGTGAGCCACAATAAACCCTTGCGGGGTGCGATGGAGGGTCAAATAGACCCACTCACTTTGGACCTAACCTTACCTAACCTTCTGTGCCCGCGGAATTTTAACATACACCTTATAGGAAAGTAATAAATGTAACAATAAGGTGGCAGGTATAAGTAACTTTGTTCATAAATGGAATTTGTCTGATGGGGAAAGTTGTTCCGAATATAGGAATATAGATTTTGAAAATGAAGGGTCTCATACCTCGAATAATATTTATACTACAAAAACTTCCGGGAAACAAACTAGAAAACTTTCCACATATGTGTAGGCATTAGTAGGGAAATTGGGCAAATTTCGGATATGCGGTTGGTTACCTCGTTGACAGGCAGATGGGGAGATGACAAACCTGTTGTTTGTTGATAAGTGTCAGTCCATTAACCTACAGTGTAGGTAATTGAGACTGTCCTGAACGAATTGTTCCTTTAGATGATTTGAATCATGGCCAGTCTTTAAGTATGCTCACTGAGTATATGTGAAAAATTAGATAAATGATGGCATAGGAAAGAATGGAGAACTGAGATCATCGAAAGTTATACCCATCACAGATTAACACTTTAAATAATGTTATAATGTCACATGAAGTCACTAGTTATTTGTTGTTGTCGCCGACCATTTCTACATAGCCAACTCTGTTTACAAAAACACGGACAAAACACCTGCAGTTTCTCATTTTGACAACTCCAGTTTTTGTTCTGTCATAATCGACATTGTTGCTATTTTTTGTGTTGATAGAAATCTGCCTTAATAGTCTTCTGGTGCATATTACACATATGTAAAAGTACAGTGTCACTGTACAGTGTGTCTCACTTCTCATGGAAACACCCCCGTATCTTCCATAATATTCGAGGTAGAACGATGAAACTCTCTGGACTGATGGAAATGCTCAAAATGCACCTACCACCTGAATGGGGTTGGCCAAAGTGATATACACTGTCCGCCACTCGCGATGGAACACCCCATTTTTACGATAAAACATATTAGGGGGCAAAATAGGCTCAAAATTCCTTCAGATTCGTGGTCAGGACTACCAACTTACTACGAATACACTTTTTTCCTGCATTTTGAGCATTTCTATCAGTCCAGAGAGTTTCATCATTCTACCTCGAATATTACGGAAGATACAGGGGTGTTTCCATGAGAAGTGAGACACACTGTATAAGGTGAAATATAAAATTAGTATGCTTCTAAAATTGGTTTTTATGTCATTTATCATTCCGGATAATCTTTTCATAGTTTACATCACTTTCTAATGTTGGGGTAAGTTACTTCAATCCTCTAACGAATGCAATTCACACCTCCGTTTAGTTATCTAAGCGTTTTCTGAGATGAAGTCATTCGTTGAACGTGAAACATATATTTCAAACCTGAATGAGATAAGTGCAGCCAGCTACAACAAAACATTAACCTCAACCCTTTTTCAGTGATATAACTTCCATTCAAAACTGCATTGTCAAGGACTTAGAAGAAAATTGCGAAGAATCTACACCAGCTAACATTATTGATGCACTGTTTCGTTTCGTGAAGAGGAGTGCTTGCAAAGACGTCAAAAGAAGAAGGAGTGTCAGTACGTTATAAAAATTATAATAAAGTGGCTGTTTTCTGTCATGCTTCAAACTGGGAATCTACTCATATTGTAACAATAAATTAGTATCAAACTACAACGTTTTTTAGTCAAATCGTGGGAATATTGCACGTTTATTTTCATTCAGTATGCATGGATCAATGTCATTTCACCAAATGTTGGTGCACGTTGAATAATAATGACCTGCATGTTACTGAATTTCCCCGCCACTTCAACAGCTACGTCACAAGATTTCCAACGCAGAAGTTTTCCCACCAAATTTAGCAGGTAAATGCGTAGGATGGAATTTTATGGGGGTTTTATAATTGTAGAGTTATTTTTGGGAATTTTTTGTCTCATCATATTATTTTTGTAATAAACAAGTAAAAGTTAAGGGGTCATAGGACAATTGAAATTAGCCAATCATATCAATTTGTTCACCTAGCAAAAATGCAGTTTATATCAGTAGAATTCAATTTCTGGGAGCATCTGATGCATACCGCATCAATGTATTTCGGTTCTGATTTCCAAAATATATCACAAGAACTAGAAAAAAATGATTTGTTTGATATATCTGAGGAAGATACAAGAACTAAGTTGCGAAATAGACTATCTATCGATATCTTATAAAGCTTAATGATGGTTCGAATTACTCCAAATCAGAATGGTGAATCGTACATAACATTCAATCAATCTCACGAGATTTTAGTGTTATCAATATCAACAAGTTTGAAATCAAAAATCTGAATCTTCAGAAGAAAACGAAAAGTAAATATTCGTTTTGAGGGCACCCGGCGATTTTGAAAAAATTTTTGAGTGTACTTACGTATTTTGATGCGTAAATTACGAATCCAAAAGAAAAAATCGGCCACCTCCCTTATTTACAAAGTTACGGCCCTTCAAAGTTCGGAAAAAAACGAATTTTCAGCCTTCTTTTTCACAAGATAAACCATATAAAAATACAAGCATTTATTTACTATATAGGTCACCTTTACACGTTATTCCTCCTTAATTGACACTTTTCAATTCAACAATCAATATTTTTCTTATAAAAAACTTAATTTAAAAACGAATGCTTCTTCTGGTGACATTCTTCTATTTCTAGGTTAGTTGCTAGTGATATTTCAGAAAAAAGCGGTTGGTATTTGCCGTCGCCAACTATTTCAAATTCGTAATACACCACCAAAAACCAATTTACGATCTAAAGAATGAAGGCAAAGAACATTTGAATTACTTTAGGAATATTGACAGCAACAGTTGTACCAACTATGCCATTAACCTTAAAAACGTAAAATACAGAGATATATAACTAAAAAACAGCTCCCTACATTTTTTAACATTTTTGTTGAACGAATGCTTGTGTTTTCAAATAGTGTATCTTGTGAAAAAGAAGGCTGAAAAGTTGCCCTTTTCTTGACTTTGAAGGGTCGTAACTTTGTAAATGAGGGAGAGCGCCGCTTTTTTCTTTCGTAGTCGTAATCTACGCATCAAAATACGTAAGTACACTTAAAACATTTTTCAAAATCGACGGTTGCCCCAAAACGAAAATTTACCAAACGAAATTATGTTTGATGTATTAAATGAACAATTCATAAACAAAGAGTATTGAAAATATTACAGTGTATTATCTATTATGTTTCATTAGTCAACAATTTACAGGTTATCACATTATTATTTTCTGAAATAATTTGAATGAATTCAAATGAAATCACACCTCATACAGGACACCATTCGAACACTTTTGTGTAGGGCTACTTGACAGCTCCCAATTTATGCGAAACTTTGAATATCTTACTTTTCTTCTGTCTTGTATCTTATGTGTCTCTTTTGAATGTTGTAAACACTCTATATATTTTCGAAGTCTTCATTGTGAACAAATTACTTTTCATTTCAAATTCAATTAAATATATTATCAAGTTTTCTTTGACATCATTCCATTGCGCGAGTTGACATCGTTTTGACGATTTCTTCTTGCTGAATGGATCAATTCTTCGATTCGATTAGTAAAACCAAGCACGATTCTTCTCGACAGGAAAACTTCAGTTCGATAACTTTCCTGTCAAGGAGGTTGAGAAGGGACACGGTTTTTGGATTTGAATCATGCTTCCTGTTGAAGTTGTTAATTGTGCTTTCTGAATTGAGTGGAAATAACATTCTGGCTATCTTGTAAATTCGCCCTGGAAATTCTTGAAAAATCTGACGTCACAATAACGTTTTTCGTGAAAATTGGCGTTATTTGGGAAGTGGCCGCTACAAAACCCCGATGAGATCGCTACGTGTGGAAATCGTAAGTGAGATTGGAATGATGTAGTGAATAAATTTGATTTTGGTGTACATAGGGGGGCACGCGATTCTCAAATAGTGTTTATGTGAACCTTCGCTTTGGATTATGATGCTACATTAAAAAAATGGAGGGGAGCAGGTAGATGAAGCTAATGAAACAGATTTCTACCGAAATTCACGAAATTTTTCATTTTTGTTGTCGTTCCATTCTGAAAATTTTGTGTGGGTGGAAGTTCATTCAAATGAGAACTTACAGGTAATTTTTAGGTCTAATACTACATGAATTTCATTCAAGAATCCTTAAGTCATTGCTTTGAGAGTCCTGTGGTTGATATTGAAACCGCTTTCAGGCATTTCTCCATCAAAGAAGTTCAACAAAAACTATTTTACTCGTATTTATTTGCAATACACTGTTATTCTTTTTTCATAACACATCATCTACCCTCTAATAAAATCGAATAAGTATAAAATATCCATGACTGTTCATCCATTCGATGGATATTTAGCTGAGCTATGTCATGTATGCGAGGAAAAAATTGAAGGAAACGACATAGACCATAACCATTTTTCGGAAGAGTTCAGAGGGTGGACGCATCAAGCATGTAACATCCTTTACAAAAATCAATAATACATCAAATCTTTCTCCACAATATGAGGCGATACGATGCAAACGTTATAGTCAAAAAGAGGAATTGTGTATCTTTTGCCGATCAAAAATTAGAAATCAGGAACTGTTGAATTTGATCAAATTGAAAAGAAGACACCTGACTCACTTGAAATTTGGGTCTACATAGGTGAGTTTGGACTTCATCTAATTAAAAATCATCCAATTGGGATATAAAACATTCATTTATTATATCGGTCAACCCAAATCTCATCTCCAAAGTTTTTTGGTTCAGCAATGTTCATGATATACTACATACATTCGGTGTATGTGCCAATAATACGAATAATAACCCAAACAGACATCGAAGATTTTTATAGTATGGAAAAAGCCGCCGTCCGAAGATAATACAGGAAATGAACAAAAATGAAATAAGAACTAAAGTCAAGGGCATCATCCTGCAGTCAACACGGTCTTTTCAATATAGTAAATGCAATTGCTAAGAGGCCCACTGGCAACTATTAACTCAGTGCACCAACATCTGCAAACAAATAGTCCTCACATTCTTGCACTCACAGAAACCAAAGTCAGTGCTTCAACAAAACCCGTCAATTTTGTATATCTCGGCTATAATTTTCACTCCCGATTAAGAAGTAACTGTGGAATATCAGAATATCAGTAGCGATATCTCCTGTCAACGAGTGGAAATACTGAAACCCCAAAACTCTGCTGTTATGTGGTTCAAAATAATATCACAAAAGATCACTAAATTCACATGCAGCGTTTATCAACTACCCAGTGACAAACAATATAGAGCACTATTCTCTTCACTTACAAACACCATTGACTTTCTGCAAATCAATCATCCCAGTGCCGATATTTCCATATTCCGTCGAATGCCTCAAATTTTAAAATATCAACGACGAACAAGGTTGCGTAGCTGGAGGTTTTTGCAATAAACAGCGGACTTACTCAGGTTATAAATGAGCCAACCAGGATTCCTCACCGTGATGGAGATTATGCCAGTCTTCTGGATTTATATCTAACAACTATTCCAGAAATTTACACAGATCTTCTGATCACAAACTCATTCCAATATTGACTGAAGTGCTGATGAATGTTGGGGAACAATCTTAGCCGCGCAAAGTTCAGCATTACAGATCTGCTGAGTGGGAGGATCTTCAAGAACATTTTCGTAATTTTCACTTGCTAGATGTTTGTTTCAGATCTGAAACTTCTGAAGTCACGGAGGAATCTCGCCTACCGACAGTGGCGTTAAAATCCCAGTGTCGAAAACCGAACTAAGTTTGTTGACGCTCGCAACAGCTGCAAACTTAGAATAAATGAAAGCAAAAAACTTTACAATCCGAGAATTGGGGATAAACTGCTTGCCAATCCCAATGGGTCTAGATCCCTCTGGTCGGTAGCTGAAGCTGTTAATCAAAACAAAATCCACAATTCCACCACTAACACAAGCAGATGGTTCAATTGCAACAACATCCATAGAAAAAGCAAATCTACTAACTGAACAATTTGCATCCCACTCCACAATCGAGTTGCATACCCTGAAGCTGCTGGATTCCATCCAGAAAAAACCATCCGGCTGATTGGAGATGCAAACATCACTTGCAACCTTGACAGTCTGGAACATCGAAGAAAAGTTGGAGATTTGTCACTCTTCTATAGATACTTTCAAGGGAGGTGTTGAAGTGACTTGGCACATTTGATTCTACCAAGAGCGGTACATATCCGAAATACGCGTTTTGAGATTCAACTCATTATACCTCAAACTTCACTAATCAAGAACTCTTTAATTTGGAGAACCGCGTTTATGTGGTGTAACGAAGTTACTAATTTCTCCAGTGGTACGTCAGGTAGAAATAGCTTTTTTATTTTTGTGTTTATATTATTGCTCCGTTATTTATTTAACCCCGACTGAATGAATACCTTCTTCGATCAAATTGCCACTCTATCGCGATAGAAATCCCAGGTCGCCAATGCGAACCGCCACTCTATAGCGATAGGAAACTGTACTATGCCAGGTCGCCAATGAGATTTGAAAATCATACGTTATTTGTTGATACACCGTACCACCCATGGAGGGCATAACTCTCCCACCACCGGACACCGTCGTAGAACTTTATTTCAAATAAGCTCAAGAGTATCTACCAAGGCAGTTCAGTTGAATTCAGTCGACTTTTAGTCTCAGTTCCAGTTCCAGCTTCGCTCGAGTCCGAGCCCCGATAAATAAATGCAAACCGGTAGACAAAAAAACAGCAGGTACCCAGGATTCGAACCCAGGACGGCAATTAAAGCTTGCCATACTGGCTACAGTTGATTTAGTCAATACCACAGAGCCAGAGACCTTCTTCATTGACGCACACCACGCCGAAAGCTGGCGCCCGTGGCAACCCGTAAGCTGAACTCGACGTCAAAGTGACTCGTAACGCGTAAAGAGCGTTACAGTGAAATAATCTTCCTGAGAACGCTTTTCCAAATGGATTTAATACCCAAAGATTCAAATCTAATGTGAATCACTACTTTCGCACAGGCACCGCTCTTAGAGCACCTCAAGGATTTCCCTTTAGTGCTTGTGTTTTTTCTCAAAGAAAAATGGAATGATTGCAACATTCTATATAAAGAGTACGATCACGCGCCAAATGTGCGTGATCGTACTCTTTATATAGTGATAAACTCTATTGATTAGTTTTTCATTATGGATTTTCATCAAATATCTGCCAGTTCTATTGAACATTTATATTAGTATGGATAGATAGATGTAGTGAAACGAATGAAGATCATTGGAGCAGAGGCCTTATGAATCGTGTATGAAATAAAGAAAAGAAAAATGACAGAACATGGGAATGAATGTAAGAAATGTATATAGAACAGACTATATACCCGAGATACGTTGAAAAATCTGTTTATCCGTTAACCAGCTTTAGCTCCATACAAACAACAACCTTCAGAAGTCGGAACAACTGAGACATAAGCATCAAAGGTGTAAACTTTCTTCTTGAGATTACTAGCACGGATCAGACGATAAGTAATGAATACTCATCGCCCCAAAGTTGTATCCACAACTACGGTTGATTCTTAAGTGGACTCACTAACCAACCAGCTCCGTCTGGAAAAACATATTGGCATTGTTTTCGATTTTTCAAATTCAGTTTTTGAAGTTACCTGAATATCCTATCATTAAAGGATCATTTTCAGGTCCTATCCCCAATAGGGTTCGTAGTCTGATGGAATGCCAGTCGACGCTTGAAAGTAGGCAGTTTGAGACTCTTGAAGAGACCAGTGACGAGACCTGGGAAGTATGCAGATCAAGGCCCCAGCGTCAAGTTACAAAATCTTTGCAGCATGTCATCACCTGAGGAGTATTCAGATTAAGACCTTAGTGTAGTTATACTTGCTTGATAATGGCTTCAAAGTCGAATCCGAAACGTCGATTTTCATTCATCCATACTATGACATTTTTCTTATCAGATCTTGAGACAATTCAATTTGTATTATGTTTCAGGAAATTTTCTATGAAAAATGGATGAGAATGTTTCGAAATAATACCTTCAACGTGGACTTTATGTAATGTTATTTTGTATCAATTTCCATCTTGAATCATTTCATTAGTTTTCTGTTTATAGTAAGTAACACAAAAATTAAACATTCCGTTTCTATCGTTGGTAAATGATCGACATGAAGAAAATGTTTTGATATCAGATATTCAGTTCAATGTTTCACCAAATATTCCAGTTATGAAAAAATATAGTATAGAAAATACCAAACGCCTAGAAAATCATTATAGAGGTTACAATGAAACCAGTTATTTCGCCCGGTGCGAGATTCACGAATCGTTTCTGTGATTATGTCGTTACAAAAGTAATTGTTTGACATTTTTTATTGTATGAGTATTTGCAAACGTCTTAAAAACCATCATATGACCGATGTTTTGCAAATTCAATATTGAAAGGAATATGACTTTAAATTAATTCAGCCTTCTATTTATTCATATTATTGTAGAATGTGTTCGTTCACAGGTTTGAAAAGGCAACTGAGAAGTACATTTTCAAAAACTCAAGAGAGTTTTGCATCAAGCGACGTACTCATCAAGCTGAGAGATTTATGTAAGAAAAATGGTAATGAAGGATCTTTCGACATGATCAAAGTAAGTATATTCGTTATCACATTGTTCCAAAAATGTGGCATGAGTACTCCAAAAATGATATCATAAATCAACAATCAACGAATAAATATTACTGGAGTTTTTTCCCAACACCAAAACATTATTTTAACACCGCATTCCAAGCGGTAGACATTTCTGTTCATCCTCAGCCACTACCTTAGATTGAGGTGAGCATTACTGTCCAGCCACGAGATTGGTTTTTTGTTTTCGTTCTTTCTGTTTTTGTGTTGTTTCATTCATGTTTGTTCCCACGAACAGCAAGGAAAGAGTTGGACACTTCTGGCAGAGCCCCGCATTACCACAGGTAGGCTGATTACAATGAGGTTTCGCTCAGTTCCCAAAGGAGATCATTCGTGACCGCATATCACCCTGCGGCCATTCAGCTGTCAGCACGATTCCTTACACCTTAGCTCGGGTAGGCTGGTCCACGGTGGAATGTTTTGCAAAGGCTTTTAGGGAGTTTTAGTTCCCCCCACTCTACTTATTTCTGCCACTGACCAGGAGTCCGGCGACCCCGTCCATAAGGCCACACTGGCTTACCGGAGAGGGCCTCCAGTCCCCTGGCTGATCCGCCACCTGGGTACACGCCCGATAGGTAGCCCAACCCACGGTTGGTACCCGGGGTTGTTTTGACGTGAGAAAGCATAATGTCGTATTTATTTATTTCAAATGATCCTTACTTTTCTGCCAGTAAACTTTTGGTACTTTTCATGAAAAAACTTAATTTCCACACCTTTTCAAAGTAAAGAAGGATCACTTCCTCAACAACACTGGAGGTGATCTTTTTCGACATATTTACAACTTTCTATATCAATTCATATTAGGTCAGGTTAGGTTAGGTCCAAAGTGAGTGGGACTATTCGACCCTCCACCGCAACTCGCAAGGGTTTATTATGGCTCACACCTATTCACATTCAACCAAATGAACCCAGTCGATTAGTTTGTATGGTGAGTGGTCTTTCAGGTCAGATGGTGAGAGTACGGCTCTGTCGAACTCTAAAACCTGATTCGGTCCCCAACGGGGCAGGCACAAAGTATATGCTCTGCTATTTCATCATTGATGAGGTAGTCGGATAGTCAAGGTGGTCACCTGGATCTACACTGCAATAATAAGAC